GGGGATTTCACTATTGTTAAAAGAAGAAGGACCAGGGGTTGAGTACGTCCTTTGGACACTGAGATCCCAGCACATTTAATCTCCTTGAAACATGCAGGAGCAGCAGCAGTACCAACATCCAGACCATGAGACAGCAGTGGGCCTACCAGTGTACAAAGCCAAGCAAAGCTGAGTGACTTAGGAGACTTGCTTGCAGAGTTAATTGGAGGAGCTAGGTTTGACCCACAGAACTAGAGCCAAGTGCATTTAGGCTAAGGTTTATGGTGGGATAGTATACCTGGAGTCATTTATCAGCAGCTCTAAAGGAGCTTTTTCACATTGACCAGGTAGAGAGAGGCCTACCTGTGGGCACAGTTGAGGAGAGACTATCCTGACTGGAAGAACTATGCCCTGAGTATTTTCTGATCCTGTTAACTTCCCTAATAAACCCCACTATTCTGTGAGTATGGTGTCTGAGTTCTGTGTGGCCATTACAATGGATTGTTTAACCCAGCTGAGTAGAGAGGACTTTGGGAGTGATGTTTGGTTCATTTTTTGCAATTACATTTATCCTTCCCATTTTCTAAATGTCTTGTTTTCATTTGGGATAGGGATTGAATCCCAGTGAACTACAGGGTTTTTTATGGTTCTGCCTGATCGGTTTTTCGAGTATTCATTGATAGACTTCATAATTGAATCAAGAAATCAAGTGGAGTTCATTTCTTGAGTTGATGCAAAGCATTTATAAACTGATATTTTCCTTTTCTACCTGCTCTAAAAATAATATACTTAGATCACAGTCCCTGGCTAATTTTGAAAGGAGTGATATTTGAATGAAGCTAGTACATACATACTTTTAACAGCTTAAAAGCACTTGTCATCCTGAGTGAGCAGAGTTGTTATTTTATATAAATGAATCAGCAGTTTTAGATTTAAAGTGCCTAGAACCTCAGGTTTTGAATGCTTTTTATTTTTATCATCAGAATGTCAGTTTCATGAGAGCTGAGATTTTGGTTTGTTTGCTGAATGTACTATTCACTTAGTAAATGTTTTCATTGTTATTGAATCAGCATATTGAACATCGTGTTATTGTTGTTTTTAGTTGCTGTGGAGTCAGTTTCAACTCACTGACCCTATACACAACAGAACTAAATTCTCCCCGGTCCTGTACCAGCTTCACAATCATGCCATGTTTCCATCTACTGTATTAGTCCATCTTGTTGAGGGTCTTCCACTTTTTTACTGACTTATCCAAGCATGATGTCCTACTCCAGGGACTGAGCCATCCTGATAGCATGTCCAAAGTACTTGAGATATGAAATCTCACCAGTCTTAATTCTAAGGAACACTCAAATTCTAAGGCTGTTCTTCTTCCAAGACAGATTTGATCATTGGATCATCTGGCAGTCCATGATATAAGGGGCTTCAAAAAGCTGATGGAAAATAAGAATTTTTAAATAGTGTAATTTCCGTGAACTTTTGGACGCCCACTCATGTGTTCAATATTCTTCATCCGCTTCATAATTCATATTATGGTGGTCAAGACCTTGGTGGTCTTCCTTAATCGTTGTCTAGCTTTCACATGCATATGAAACAATTGAAATGCCATAGATTGGGTCATGGCACAGTCCTAAAAGTGACAACTTTTATTTTTTAACACTTTAAAGAGATCTTTTGTAGTCGATTTGCTCAGTATAATATGCCACTTGATGATTTGACTACTGCTTTCATCAATGTTGATTTTGGATCTAAGTAAAATGAAATCCTTTACAACTTCAGTCTTTTCTCCATGCATTATGTTGCTTATTGGTCTAGTTGTGAAGATTTTTGTTTTCTTTATGTTGAAGTATAATCCATATGGAGACTGTATTTCTTTGATCTTCATCGAGTGCTTCATGTTCTTTTCATTTTCAGCAAGCTAGGCTGTGTCATCTGCATATCACAGGCTGTTAATGAGCCTTCCTCCAGTCTTGATACTGTGGTGGTGGTGGTGGTTGTGTGCCACTGAGTCAGTTCCAACTCATAGCAACCCTGCATAGGGGTTTCCAAGGATGTAAATCTTTACAGAAGCAGAAAGCTTCATCATTCTTCCAGGGAGTAACCAATAGATTTTAACTACTGACCTTGCAGTTAGCAGCCCAGCTCATAATCCACTACTCTATGAGGGCTCCTTCTGATACCATAGTATAGTCTTTTCTTCTTCATAGAATCCAGCCTCTCAGATGATTTGCTCAGCATACAGATTGAATAAATATGGTAATAGGACCCTTCCCTGAGATACACTTTTTGTGACCTCAAGCCATGTAATAACCCTTTGTTTTGTTTGAACAACTGCTTCTTAGTATATGTATAGGTTCCTTATTAGCATAATTAAGTGTTCTGGAATTCCTAGTCCTTGCAATAGTCAACATAATTTGTTATGATCCAACAATCAAATGCCTTTGTATAGTAAATAAAATACAAGTAAACATCTTTCTTGAAGCATGGTGGCTCTAGAGGAGAAGCCGTGGACTGTGAACCACAAGGTCAGAGATTCAAACCCATTAGCTGCTCTAAGGAAGACAGATGAGGCTTTCTGCTCCCACAAAGATATACAACCTCAGAAACCCTACACAGGGTTGATGTGAGTTAGAACCGATTCAATGGCACATAACAAAAACAAACATCTTTCTGGTATTCTGTACTTTTAGCCAAGATCCATCTGACATCAGCAATGATATCTTTCATGGTAATTACATGTTGTCTAGAAATTGCATATTATTCTGTTACTAATACAGTTTTCTCAAGATGTTTAATCTCTAGGCTAAATTTTATAAAAGGACAAATATTGTTGAGACCAATGTAAAAAGTTAAAATATTTTTTTAATAAAAGGAACAACCTGTGATAGTTACTGTGGGAGGGGGCGGGAAAATTATTCACGAGCTCAAGGTTAGACACATGTTAACATGGGTGACAGGGCAGGCAGTATACAACAAGAGGAAGGTTGGCAGAGGAAAGATGAAGGTAGCTGGCGACACAAGGAAGAATGTAGTAATTAAATAAATAGAGGTTGTTGTTAAGTGCCATCGAGTTGATTCCAACCCTTAGTGACCCTGTACAGGGTTTCCGAGGAGCAGCTGGTGAGCTGGTGAGCTTGAACCACCAATCTTGAAATTCAAACAGCTTTGCAGTTTGAACTGCATTAACCCACAACGCCACACGAGGACTCATAAGTAGAGGTTGTTGTTGTTATTGTTAAGTGCTGTCGAGTCGATTCCGACTCTTAGTGACCCTGTACAGGGTCTCCAAGGCTGTAAATCTTTACAGGAGCAGAAAGCCTCATCTTTCTCCCGTGGAACAGCTGGTAGGTTCAAACTGCTGACCTTGCAGTTCGCAGCCCGATTTGTAACCACTACGCTACCAGAGCTCCTATAAATAGAGGTAAATACTGTTAAATGATGGTATATGGAGGGGGTTGTAACCATTGTAATCAAGCAATGTCTGTGATCTGCTGAGTGTAAAACTGGTGATGTGCTTTGTAAACCTTCACTCAATTCACAATAAAACATTCCCCCCCAAAATACTTGACAGATTAAATCTTCTAAATGTAGTGTTTGGGACTCTGTTTCTGAGCAAGACATTAGTATGTAGGAGCCAGAGTGACACAGATGCTAACTGCTTGGCCTGCCATTAACCTAAAGGTCAGTGATTCAAACCCATCAGCAGCTCAGTAGGAGAGACAACTAGTGCCCTGCTTCCATAAAGAATACAGTCTAGGAAACCCTAAGAATCAGCTCAACTCTGCCCTGTAAGGTTGTTATGAGGTATGAGTTGGAATAACAATAATTTCAGATTATGGTTTTGATGCAGGGCATCATTTCTATTCATGTCAGATAGCCACATCAACATTCCTGCTTGCATCTTTTTCATAGTCTGCCACCTTCTCTTCTGTTTAAGTCTCTCCCACTATAGGGTAGCCTTTCCCAACTAGCCCTCACCAGTGTTTGTCGCCAGAATTTGGAAGCAGTACAGAAAATGATATTGTGCCATACTATTGATTTTAGATTGCTTTCTGCCATTTAATGTGGGTCATCTCCCGTCTTCAATTGTAAGACCTGTGGGGAATGTTGATTTCCTAGCTACAGTGGTGATCCAACCTCTTTTTTTCCCCTCCACTGCATTGGAATGCCACAGACTGCCAGGATTCCGATAAAACACAATCAGTATTGACTTGAAAACCACTTTCAAATCACTAAGGGTAGTTCTTCTTTGTGAAAATATTTGATTCCACTATTTAAAAAGAATTTATGAGAAGCAACAAGGAGAGTTGTTAAAGCACTGCTGAATTAAAAAAAAAAAAAAAAAAAAGGTTTTAGTGTGGAGAGGTAGTTGGTGGTAAAGATGAGACCAGGATAATTTTATTACTACAAAACCAACCTGATAGCCTTACATATTGTACATTAGACTTTTGGGTGAGGCCAAGGTCTTTATTTGCTATCTAAATTTCCCATAAGAATGGCTCAAAGACTATTTGGTGAACTGAAAGCTTGAGTTACATGTATTGCTAGGAACTCTTCCTTTTACCATACCATATTTTCTTTTATTATTAAAATGAGGCCCAGGACAGTTGGTGGTGAAAGGATGGGATTCTAAAGGAAAGGGGAATGTGGAGTAAAGGCACATCTTTGGGTCACCCGAGCTCTTGTTCATACCACAGGGGAGAGGGTGTTGGCAGAAAGGGGCACAGTCTGCATTTAAGCTACACGGCACACTTTATGCCTGGAAGCAGAAGTCCCCGGCTTTCGTTCTCAAAGTAGTGAAAATTATATTTTCTTTGATGGTTACACCTCAACATACCTTTTTGTCCTCTCGAGGTCCCCATCAATCTTTTTTTTTCCTTCCTCCCAAATGCTTTTTCCTGCTTGTTTACTGTATGATTTGTACTACTTCCTTAATGAAAGTGTTCTCTTATTTTCTGATGCAGTTACCTCTATAGCTAATTTATTTATTCCTCTTTATCCTTAGCTCGGCTCTAACTGGACTTAGGAAAGTGGAAAAGAAAATCAAGGTTGCTTTTGGGAGACATTAGACAACCGAATAAATGCAGGTACGTAGATTTGCATATTTTATTAAAAGGAGGGGAAAAAATGTCCAGCTTTTTAAAAAAAGAATAATGAAATTGTGATCTTGGATGATTAGGACTGTCTGCATTTATTGTCTTTATTTTTTTTAAATGCACATTTTTAGTTTTGTTCATTTTGAAAGTTGAGTGTGCAAGTTAACAATTTTTTCCCAAGAGTATGAAAACAGGTAATACAAGTCAAAGTTCCCATGTAATCTCTCCTAGGTAGTGGCCACTACTAGCAATTTGTTATGTATCCATCTAGATTTTTACATGCATATACATAACCAAAAGGATCATACTAGACTTGTTACACTTTGTTTACTTTGCAATATATCATGTGTATCTTGTAATGTTGGTTCATATCACTTTATGTCAGCCCTTTTAATAGCTGTATAGTATTCCCTATGACAGTATAAATATTTAGTGAGTCTTCTGTTGTTGAACATTGTAGGTTGTATTTCTTTTTACTGTTTCATATGGTCCTAAATCTTCCATAATTATGTATACCTGCCTGATTATTTATTTCCTTAGGATTTCATGATATAACACTTGTTGAATTCTTCCATGTCATGTATGTGAAGAATCTCAAGGATAAAGCTTTACCTTACATTATAAAGCAGGCTTTTAGCACTTTATTTCCCTCCCCCCCCCATCTATTTTCAAATGGGATGGGGTAGGACAGGGCAGAAGTTAGTACTGGAATATAAAATTATTTTGCCTGTTGAGTTGAATCTCAAGGTAAGTTCTGAATCTCAAGGTAGTCTCTCTGCCTTTACAGAATGTTCTTGAAAGATTCTGTTTTCCAGTTTTATTTTGTAGACTAATTACAATTGAATGCTTCTCAGTTTGTCACACTGAGACGTATCTGGCCTATGCCTCTCCTTTCAGCCTCTTATCTCACCAGAGTGGCATATAGACCAAGCAAATGAATTTGGTGAAGGAGAGCAGTGACTATGGCCTACCCTTTATGACTTTTCTTGTTTGGAGATTTTCCTTAGATCATCCAGCAAATACTCATTTTGGGCTAGACTGCGTGCCAGCTACTGGTGATATAGAGATGACTAATACAGTCCTTGTACTTTAAAAGTTTCACAGTATGGGGGAGGAGGAACAGAGAGACACATGAATAAGATGGCCGGTCACAGTACAGTGTGGTCAGTGCAGTGTGGGGAAGTTTGGGAGCTCAGAAGAGAGGGCATCTAACCCAGGGGTCTGGGTAGAGGCTTCGAGAGGGCTTTCTGGAGGAAGTAATATTTGAGCTGAGTTCTAAAGATAGTCAACGTTTGCCATGACAGAGCTGAGCTGGAAAGGTATTCCTGGTAGAGGAATCCAAGCAAAGGCAGGGAAATGAGAAATGGCATGGTGGGGTGGAAGAGCAGTGGGCAGCTTCGTGAGTTCCAAACATATGAAGTAAGAGGCTGGGAGTTGTAGACGATGAAGCCAGTGGGGCTTCTGGGTCAGGTACGGGAGGACCTCTGTTCTGAAACCTAGTCTCTAAGTAATTGGAAGCCAGTAGAGGATGTGATGTCTTATTAAGACATCACTTGGAGGTGCTAAGTCAACGTTGGCTTGGGAGACAATAGAAAAATAGGAGTCTGGGGACAAGAAAATATGTAGGTGATATGAAGAGAAGAAAAACATTTTTCATGCCCTTTCAAGCATATGTTGTTTAGTGAGGGAAACAACTAAAATTAAAGGATAGTGTGATCCATGACATAGGTACATTCAAAGGTTATGTGATTTCCGTGGAGGTTATTGTAGTAACTAATCCATAATGTAGTGTTTCCTGAATAGGCCACATTTTCCAACTCCAACATGTATGTAAATAATGAAACCAAAATTGGGTCCTATCTAAAATTATTCTGATTTGTGAGAATATGGCCTGGCTGCAATTAATTACCTGGTATGCACCATTAATTATTTTCTGTACTTTCCATCTCTCATAAGCTCTGATGTGTTTAATTTGGGGGGCTGAAACAGACAGGGAGAAGCCCTTGTCCAGTAATTATGTCTGCTTCTTAACTCCATAACACCTTTTGCCACTAGAACTTTTAGCATATAAGAGTGACTACAGCCTTTATTGTCCTTCCACTGCAGTATCTAAATATAAAAGAGGACTGCAATGCCATGGCTTTCTGTGCTAAAATGAGGAGCTCCAAGAAGACTGAGGTAAATCTGGAGGCCCCTGAGCCAGGGGTGGAAGTGATCTTCTATCTGCCGGACAGGGAGCCCCTCCGGCTGGCCAGCGGGGAGTACACGGCTGAGGAGCTGTGCATCAAGGCCGCACAGGAATGCCGTGAGTACAGGGCTCAGGGAGGGTTTCAGTGGCAGAGCATTCCAGAAGCAGATCTGAGTGTCTCTCTTCCTTATAATGTGGCTGACTGGAAAGAGGTGTGGACTCTGGGAGCCGGGGGCTCCATCTGCCTCTGTCACATTGCGTCCACATGGCCTTAGACCTGTGATTGATTTCTCTTCTGATAGTTTCACTTTCTTCAGCTCTTAAAAAACACAGCAGTCACCGTCAAGTCACTCCTGACACATGGTGAGCCCGTGTGCGTCACAGTCGAACTAGTGCTTCTTAGCATTTCCCATGGCTGATTCTTCAGAAGTGGGTCACCCAACCTTTCTCCTAAGGTGCCTTTGGGCCAGCTTGAGCTTTCAACCTTTCAGATAGCCAGCACGTTGTACTAACCATGGGACACCACCCCTGGACGCCTCTTCATCTGTAAAGTAGCCCTGGTCCTGCTCTGTCATGCCTGCACTGTGGGGTCCTAGGGAATGGTGCTTCCCCTCATCTGTAAGACAGGTGTAATATCAATACTAACTATATATAGTTAAAGCACCTGCCACAGAATTACTGGCTCAACAAGTAACATCTCTGGCGCTTGACAAAGATTCAATGTTTCTTTTGTAAATTTGGATGCATTCTTCTGCTGTGGGAATGGGAATACCCTCTTCTTCCTACTTCCTACACTCCCACCTCTGCCCATGCTGAGCTGAAGTGAGAAACTGAATTTCTCTTTGTAGCTTGGTCAGGGTCAAGCTGCCCAGTTGTGAAAAGGACACGGAGGTTTTGAACAGCACAATCTTTTTTTAAAAAATTTAAAGTGAGCCTTGTCCTGTTAAACATAACTTACCACACGCAGAGAAGGTGGAGAGCCAAACTAAGAAAATAAAGACCTTTTATCTGTCCTTTAAACTTGGACTCTTTAGGCAGGTTTTGCCTACCTAATTTTAAATGACAAAATTGAATCAGAATTAAGAATTGAATAAAATCCACTTAGATTGTGATGATAGTTGTACAACTCTGTAGATATACTAAAATCAAGATGCACGCTTAAAATGGGTGGATTTGTGGTATTTAAATTCTATCTCAGTGACAGTGTTTTTAAAAAGATCTAGTCACACAATTTTTGATGATGAAGGAACTAGCTATGGTGCCAGAAAGTCTGATCCATCTTTATGTCATCTTTAACCCTGAGAACAACTCTGCGTGGATTGTACAGGTTTTCAAAGAAACACCTACCTTGTTAGTAGAGCTTGTCTATGAAATCCATTTTCTTCCTGATATGTGTTTTTCTATTGAAAATGATGACTTTTTCTGTTGGGGATGTTTTAAATAGTAGAGTTCTAATAAGAGAGAAGGGAGAAGTAGGTGTTGTATAGAAAGTTACAGTAGACCTTTACTGACTAACATAGCATGAAATAAAATGGTGCCAAGTTATAGATTATCAGGGGAAATGCAGTAATAATGGTAAAGTGATTTTGAATAGGTGGCAAAGTCTACAAGAGACCAGCATTAGACAGCAGCTTTAAAGGTATTTTAGTATTACCACTAGCTGTAAATTGGAGCTTCTGTTTCTCTTCAGACTCCATTTTTCCGTGCTCCTTTCCCTTGAGATTTGGTTTATCCGCTTAGCCAACCTATCTGTCTTTTGTGTATGGGCTACAAGCTCAGCTAGTTTGCTAGCAGGGATCATTTTTCTAGAATGTTAGGGGCTATAGTTACTGGGGGCTTTAGTTACTGCTGCTAACGAGGATGACATCAGAGAGCCCCAAAGCCTGACAGGAGATGAGAGAAGTCTGGACTTAAGGGCATTCACTATGGGGGCATTAGTTTCCAAGTCCAGGCTGTGGAGATGTATGTGTGGTGTCTCTTCTGTAACTGACTCATGGAAATGTTGCAAAAGTGTATTCATTTAAAAAATGTCTATAAACATGGAATGCCGCCAATTCTTGTATCTTCATTGTTGTTATATGTATGTGATAACATGGGTGGCAGTATTGTTTTCTGTTTTTCAGCAGCATCTGGTAAAATTCTTTCCTTAAGCCCTAGTTGTTTCATCCCTTTAGTAGTTCTATCTTAGTTAGAATCCCAACTCTGAATTTTGTTAACTGAGTAACCTTGAATAAGGGATGGCATCATAGGATAAGCTTGGCAGTTCAAGCCACTCCTTGGAAACCCTATACAGGGTCTCTGAGTTAGAACTGACTTGGTGACATTTAACAACAGCAACAACAACCTTGATTAAAATACTAAACCTCAGAGACTGTCATTTCTTTATTTGTAAAATGGCAAAAAATACTGACATCATTAGAAGTTAGTAAAATTAAAAGATAATAAGTGTAGTGCATTTTAGTCTGATCCTTTCTTAGGCAGGGTTCTCTAGAGAAGCAAAACCAGTGGAACATATAGATGTATAGATGTAAAGAGAAGTCAAGGAAATGGCTCACAGTTGTACAGTTCCAAGTCCCCAAGAAAAGAAAGCAAGCTTTTCCTGCTTGTCCATTATATTGGGATCCTGCCACACCCCCAAGGGAAAATTCTTTCAATTGATTGGTTGCTCATAGCCAATCACCATAGAGTCAGCTGTGCTTGTATTAAGGTTTTACCATGTGGATAAACTGCCAAATCACTGTGTCCAGTCAAGTGGACACAAAACCTTAACTATCACAGATGCCTTCAGTAAATGTATAGTATTATTATTGGTAAGCAGTACTTTTCTACAAAAAGGTATCTTTGATCTCTCTAGTAATACTGTTAGAACCAGACCTGTGCTACAATTATAGATGGTTGCATTATTACAAACGAGCTCTGCTTCAAAACTATAGTGTGTTACACACGTCACCGATAAGGGGAAGTGAGGGAAAAACAACAATGAAGCAGCGAGCTAAGCCCTACAACGTTCAGTAGACTCCTGTGAACCCGGGTGGAGACCTGGTCGGCCAGCAGTGTGGCAAGACCTAGGGACTCATGGGCTCAGAGTCAGTGACACAGCCACAGAGGACTAGAGTGGAGAGTGAAGCGTCCAGCTGACAAGAACAGAGGGCATATGCACAAGAACACCCACACTTGCAGATAATACCCACTTGACCTGGCTCCAATGACTGGATGATCAGAGCTCAACCTGAAGAAGAAAGAAGAGGAAAAAAGCATCATCTGATACAATTTGATGAACTTGACATACACCTATGGATGCAGTAGCTCAAAAGAGGGACCAAATCTATACACCAAGGGTCATTCCCACCCTCTCCATACACAGAGTAGACAGGGATGGGCAACTTGGACATTGGCTACCCAAAATGCAGGTGGGGGTGGGGTGGGGACTACAAAGGCAAGAAGTGACTGGCTTACAAGCTTTCAAGAGGGAACCTAGATCCACAGGGCATGGAGGAAGGTAGAGTCTCCAGTGAGTAGTATCCAATCTGTCTAGGTGCGGCTGATGAAAAGAAATGCAGATGCGTCTCTTGTGATGCAATAGTGAATAATTGTTATCAGGACTGATTGTGAGGGTTGGAAATGTAAAGGTGGACATTTTACAGCAAGGAGGGGAGTGTTTAACTTTTCAGTCTAGGAGCGGAGGGCCCTGGGACCATCAATGGAGAAGAGCTGAGAGCGGGATCCTACCCAGAGAAGCAGTGAAGCCTGAAATGGACAGAGATGATGACGCAGAGAGATGGAGCAGCTGGGGACTTGAGATCCAGAGAGGGAAAAGAGCTATGTGCTGACGACCATGGGTGGTGGGGTGGGGGGCAGGCTTGCAGGGTATACCCTTTGGTTGGTTGATGATGCATGGATGGGATTATAACTATGGCAATGAAACGATATATGATAGAATGAATGTAAAACTAATGGTCTCCCATGTAAACTATCACATAATTCACAGTAAAACATTTATTTAGAAAAAAACAAAAAAAAGGAAAGGTCATGATAACCCTTGTTACTTTCCTCCTTTTGAGGGATGGATGAAAATGTATGTCCCAGTTTTGTGGCAGTTTCATTTTGTGGTAGCCCAAAGCAGACGTTGTTGTTTAAATTTCAGAGTCCAGAAAACGTACAGCATTAAACCCAGAAAATGTACACCATGTCTTTCTTCTTACACATTATGAAGTTTGGCCCAAAGCTTTTTCTTAATGATGTTTTGTAATTATTAGGTATTAATCTTGATGTTTTCTTAAAATTTACATTCTTATAAATATGTAAGTTGAACTTAAACATTCTTATGTAAAAAAAATATATAGTGTGTCAGTGCATTCAGATAAGGATATGCCAATGATATTATAAAGAAATAATACACTTTTAAGGCCAGCCCACAGAAGTCAATTTAAGAACGAACAACAATAGTGTAGCTGAGACATAGTTCAGTTAACACTGATTGTAGAAGCTATGTGTCCATATTCTGTAGAGAAATGCTCTTTAAAGTTTAGCTCCATCTTTTCTGTTTATAAGGGAGGAGTATAACATCTGAGGGGTTACCTCTCAAATTTCTGGAAAGGCACAAATTGAGACATTCTGGAGAGGACATCCAGATGCCAACTTCTTAACTCATTGTCTACATGGCAAGACCCCTGTCTAGGTGGTCAGAGGCCACATTGAAGGCTCCGTTAATGCCAGTCTCACTTCCGAGCATCTGACTTGGAAAACAAATGCCAGTAATCTCCTCTGCTCCCATGTTTTATGGTTATTTAAGTTCTCAGCATCTTAATTTGGGGCTTTGCACATAAAAGTATCTGTATTCGTTGTCACTGGACTGATAAACAGCGTTCTTATCAATGGAGAAAACATTGAAGTTGTCAAGGACTTCATTCTTCTTGGATCAACTATCAACACTTGTGGAATCGGCAGTCATATGAAATCAGACGACATATTGCATTAGGCAAATCTGCTGCACAAGACCTTTTTAAAGTGTTGAAGAGCAAAGATGTCAGCTTGAGGACTAAGGTGCACCTGACCCAAGCCCCGGTATTTTCAATAACCTCATATGCATGCGAAAGCTGGATGGTGAAGAAGCAAGACCATAGCAAAATTGATGCTTGTGATTTATGGTGTTGGAGAATATTGAAAGTACCATGAGCTGCCAAAAGAACCAATAGATTCATTTTGGAAGAAGTGCAGCCAGAATGCTCCTTAGAGGCCAAGATGGCAAACCTCTTCTCTCATACTTTGGACATATTGTCAGGAGGGACCAGTTGCTGGAGAAGAATATCATGTTTGGTAAGGTAGAGGGTCAGAGAAAAAGAGGAAGACCCCCCTGAACGAGATAGATTGGCCAAGCACGGCAACAGTAGTGAGGTTGGCCCAGGATCAGGCGGTGTTTCGTTCTGCTGTGCATAGAGTCGCTATGAGTCGGTACTGATTTGATGGCACCTAACAACAACAAGAAGTTCACAGTGTCTTAATTTGGGGCTTTGTGCATGAAAGTATCTATAATTGTTGTCACTGCCAGTCACCCCACCTGTACCCCCAAAATCTAAAAAATCACTGCCGTACATCTATTCCAGTTCATTGTGACCCTATGTAGGGTTTCTGGAACTGTAAATCTTTACAGGAGCAGACAGCCTCATCGTTCTTCCTCAGCACTGCTGGAGGGTTTGAACTGTGTAGGTCTGTGTCATTTTGCTCATGGGCTCAAGTGAGTGAAGAGGTGTTTTCTTGGCTTCACAAGCTTCCTTATCTTTTACTATCATTCTTGAATTTAAGAAGGCAGATGGTGGGGCGGGGAGGCGAGACAGCACTTGTTGACCTGCTTTGTTAAGCATATATCTTCTTTTTCATTTGCTACTAATAAAAAATATTTATGATAACTATACAGAGTACTTAAAAAGTATATTTATTATTAATGGTAATAGACTTTAATTACTGACAAAAAATCACTTTGGATGTTATTTATTCTAACACACATTTCTTATGCTACTGCCAGGAACTTTGCATATCTAATATATAACCACAGCATGTTAGAACTGTTTAAACATTTTATTGTTTAAACAATTGGGGCTTTCCAAAACTGCCAGAACATTTCTAACTATGATTAGCAAGGTGTACCTCAGATGGGTTCAGATGGCCTTTTTCTTTCTTAAACAGAGCTTGAAAGGACTCCATCAAAAGACACCATAATGAGAAAATAGCATTAGATTTTTACTTTCAAACAGTCATAATCTGGTTTGTGGCATGCTGGTGTGGCACTGTAGGGTAAACACTGGACTGCTCATCACATGATTGGTGGTTCAAACTCACCAGCTGCTCCTCAGAAATCCTGTATAGGGTCCTTATGAGTCAGAATCTGCTCAACAGCACTAAACAGCCATCTGGTTTGTCAAGAGGTAGTAGTATAGACTGGGGATCATAGTGGCTCTGTATGATAAGCACTGCACTACAGATTACAATGTCAGTGGTTTGAGCCCACTAGTTGCTCCATGGGAGAAAGATGATGCTTTCTGCTCCTGCAAAGATTTACAGCCTTGACAACCTTATACAGGGTCGCTATGAGTCAAAACCTACTCAGTGGCATTTAACAACATCAGTGTGTACTCTTGGGAGCTGTAGTTCTTGTTTCTTAAAACCTGCCTGATTAAACATGGTTGGAAGCCACATTTGCCCAAGAAGAGATGAATGAACTGGATTCTTTTTGGATGAGATCATTCTTTATTTCTGCATAGGTTATGCTTTGGAAACAAATGGCCAGATGTATTTCTCTTTAGTTTCCTGATGTGTTCTTTACTCCCCACTTTTCCCAGGTATCTCTCCTCTATGTCACAACCTCTTTGCCCTGTACGATGAGGACACCAAGCTCTGGTACGCTCCAAATTGCACCATTGTTGTCGATGACAAGACATCGCTCCGGATCCACTACCGGATGAGGTACAGAAAATACAGAGCTGTGTCTGCCTGGCTTCCTCGTAGTGTGAGGGCTGATGGTCAGCCTGGTTATAGTCATTTTTTTAATAAATAAATTTTATATTTTTTTAGTATTAGAAAAGACTTTTTGTCTGATATAATCCAAGATGAGTTTTATGTCCTTTTCTTCCACATTTTGGAAAAGAAATCTGTATGATGGAAAGGGTATTTTTGAGTAGAATCAGTATCCTACAGCTTAGGTTTTTAAAACTATGGCTCATGGTTATGAATTTAATTTAGTGGGTTGTAACCAGAATATTTTAAGGAGCTCTGGTAGCATAGTGGTTATGAATCGGACTGCAAACTTTACAGTCAGCAGTTCGAAAACTACCAGCTGTTCCGTGGGAGAAAGAGGAGGCTTTCTGTTCCTGTAAAGAATGTACAGCCTCAGAAACCCTGCACAGGGTCTCTATGAGTCAGAACCGACTCCACGGCACATCACAGCAACAACAACCAGAATATTTTAAAGAATGAATAAGAGAATAAGTTATATCAGAAGTTATTACATATTCTAAGGCTATTATTTTAAAAACTTTTTTCCCATCAATATAAATGTACATACTGGGTCTTAATGTAAGCTATATTATTAAGAATTCTAGTTTAAAAGCTTGAACACTACTGAAATGATAAGATAGAAATTCTAGGTTAGTTCTGCTCTCAAGTAGATGGATCTACATCCTGAGGACTTTTGTCTGTAGGTCTGTAATTATTTTTTCTGGTGGATATTTGCCTTACCTTTCATTGTTGTAGAGAATGCTTAATGTCACATGTCTCCCAGTATGACGTAAACAATGCAAAAAACGACACATTAATCATCCGTCCCACAGCACTTTCTCATTATCTGGGTTCTAGGATCCATTGCCACACAGAGCTCAGAGACAGTACTTAGTTATGGGGTTTATTATGGAAGTTAACAGATTACAATATAGATCAAAAAATGCCTAGAGCACAGTTGTTCCAGTCAAGGCCCACAGGACACATGGCTCCACTATAAACCTCTGCCTGAAAGGCACTCAGCTTGAAGGTATGCTGACTCCATGGGTCAGCAAACCTAACTCCCCCAATTAAGTGCCTATAGGCACATAGTCACTCAGATTTACTTGCTGTGTGGATTGGATTGGGAAGTCCACTGCTGTGTCTCTTTCTCTGGTCCTTGATTCTGGTGCTGCTACTCCTCTGCTACTTTCCACGGTCACAGCTTTCTGTCCCTGGCTTGAGAAGGTTCAATGTGCAGAATCTCAGAATCCAAAGGATGTGCTGCACTGCTTGCTCTTCTTCTTTCCTGGTGGTAAGATTCCCCATTCCTGCTTCTGAGATGGCTCATTTTATAGCCATGCTAGAGTTTCAAGTTTTTGCAATTACATTTAACTCCACTAATCCACAGGTGAATCACCACATCCTGTCAGTATCTTCTCCCACCTTCTCTCACACAGACCCATCAGGAAAAGAATTGGTTGGTGGGAGTTACAAAGACTAAGACTACAAGAGACATTCTAAATGTTTCCTTATAGTACAGACAGTAAATTATTGTTGTAGTCTCTTGAGTTTGCAGATATATTTGTTCAGTAGCTAGAAGTGAAATTATGTTTGTTAGATCCTAGTTAAGGACAAGTTGACATGTGTCTAGCAAAGGAGTTTATAAGTAGAAAGGGCACTTTTCTGAAAAGAGTCTTAATGTTTGCAAATGTGATTAAGTCAGTAGATAAGCTCAGATGCTAATGGAATACACAGGCTTGTTGAAGAACCCTTGGAAATCCCATAGGCTCTACATCGTATCTTACCTCTTATTCCTTCAGGAAATGAGTAGACACCATTCCTGAATGACTGGGATGGCTTTCTCAGTCTCAGTGGGACCCGATTTACTAATCATTCCTAGGGCTGACCTTTTCTTTCTGTATTTACTCAAGGTCTCGCCTAAAGGGGTGGGGGGTGGGGGGTGGGAGACGACGACTAGGTGTGTGCCATGGGAGATTTCATCAGACTTCATTAAAACTTTCACTCCACCCAGTAGAGCCTTCTGACTATATTTGGATTTGTTTTTCAATGTGTGATCTTGCTTTCAATGGCCTGGAGGATGACTGTGTGATCCAGCATGGAAACGTGTATTTGCAGCTGCAGTAGTTAAGTTCTAGCTTTTTCCCTCAAGGTTTCTTTACTTGGCTTGGAATCTAAAATTGTAAAATTTGGGGCTTGGAAGAGACCTGAGTTTACCTAATTCAACTCTTGCATTTTTATGGTAGAAAAAGCAAACACAAGACTTTGTTGGTTGTATGCATACCTTACTCTTAAAAGCTGTCCATGCTGGCTCCCCAGAAGTGCACAGCTGCTTCATTTTGTCACCTTGACTCTGTACCTGCCAGTGTGTTTCAACAGGATATTGCTTTCTTACCACAAGCTTTTTGAACTTGGAAAAAAAATGATACCACCCTAAGCTGAAACATTTGCATTACAACAAACTTCAGAAAATTTGAAACCTCATGATCTTACCACTAAAGAAGGTATAACATGAAAAGATAATGTTAGTGACTATTTCAGTGGAATTCGACTCTATTTTGGGAAATAAATTCTTCTATTTTTATTGTGGTTTTCTGTGTTTAGATAATGGCCTTTATAATTACTGGTTTTTAATATATCTTATATTGTTACTGTTGCTAAGTGATGTCAATGAGGTTCCGATTTATAGCAGCCCTGTATGATGTTTCTAATGAGCAGTTGGGGTTTGAACTATTGTCATTGCTTATCCTACAGCACCATACTGGGACTTCATATATCTTAATATAAGACAAGCTTGTTTTTTAGTCCTAGAAAAATCTTTTTGTTTGTTGTTTTTTTTTCCATCTTAATGAATTTCACTATTCATGGTATAGTGCTGTAGGATAAGCACTGGATTGCTAACCACAAGGTTGCTGGTCCAAAGCCACCCACTAGCTGCTCCTTGGAAACCATATAGGGAACTGCTATGAGTTGAAACCCACTTGATGGCACACAGCAACAACAACATAGAAACCTAAAGAGAATGAATTCTGTATAATATTTTTACATAAACTTAGAATACATAATATAATTAATATTCTCAAAGTCTTGCAAGGTATATCTCTGGTTGATAGGTCTGTATGTTTCTCTCTCTCCTGCCTGCCTGCATGCCTGAATTATTCCTCCACATCATTCTGAAAAGAATCAAAATAGCTATCACATTACATTTATGTAATTTTTTTTCTCCCATTAGCACATTATCATGTCTGGAATTTGTGTGTGTCCCAAGTTTGAGGAACACGTCCAGGATTAAATAAAAAAGAGTTTAGAATCTGTCTGGATTGTACTTCCTTGTTTTGTATTGTTAGCAAACAGGAAGGTATTGCTTTTAGTAGTCACTGATAATTTTGTTTTGTTTGACATCTTATTAAATAGAGACACTTTCTAACAATTGTCTTGGACAATTACAGAATCAGCACTGGACTGAGAACCACATGGTCAGCGGTTCAAACCCACCAGCTGCCCCTTGGAAATCTCATACAGGGTCTCTATGAGTTGGGAGTCTTGGTGTGGCACTGCAGGATAATGTGCTGGACCTCAGGGTCAGCAGTTCAAACTCACCAGCCTCTCCTTGGAAACCCTATATAGGGTTGCTATGAGTTGGAACTGACTTGACGGCACTTAACAACAACAACAAGAGTAAAAGAGGCCTGGTGACAAAGTGGGTTAAGTGCTGGGCTTCTGACAGCAAGATTGGGGATTTCAATTCAATCAGCTGCTCTGCAGGAGAAAGATGAGGCTGCCTGCTCCATAGAATTTCCAGCCTTGGAAACCCTAAAGTGCATTTCTACTCTGTCCTAGGGTTGCTATGAGTGGACTTTTATAGTGTAGAAGCTACACATTGTCTGTTTCTCTCATCCATTTCCTCTCAGAATATTATATCAAAAGACTTCTAAACCAAGGCTGGTTCCACACAGTGCTCAAAGAGCAGCCCAGAAAAACGTCCCATTGCATCCCCGGACCCTGGTATTCCCTAGGCTCTGCAAATGGAGCTTAAGGATGGATAGCTGAATTTTAATAGCAGCTGTTTTCAGTGGGAGAATTTTATTTGCTGATTCTCCATGACGTGTTGTTGTTGTTGTTGCAGCACACAGGCAGGTCAAGGGAGAGATGCATAGGCACCCAGGCACCAGCTTGACTCTGTAACCAAGATGGCCCAGCCCAACTTGACTCAGTAATTCTCACTTTCCAGAACTCACTGTGTTAGACTTTCTCTTACAGGTGGCAGAGAAACATAGTACTAAGAGGGCAGGCTTGATGTCTTGGGAAACCAAGCCAGGAGGACCTTTAGTTTCCTTCATCTGTAGAACGGGAACAGTGCAACCTCTCTCATAGCTTGCTGTGATGATTAAATGGCATAATGCATGCAAACTGTTTCTTATTTTAATTCAGCTACAGCTGATGTTTGTAGTAGTGTTCATTAAGTTAAGATACTGTTGTTTGTCAACTAGATCATCAATTTAATAACAGCAAAGTGTTGTTGTTGTTAAGTGCCATCGAGTCTGTTCTGACCCATAGCGACCCTGAGCAGGTTTTCTGAGGCTGTAAATCTTTACTGGAGCAGAAAGCCTCATCTTTCTCCTGCGTAGCAGCTAGTAGTTTCAAACTGCTGACCTTGCGGTTCGCAGCCTGATTTGTAACCACTATGCTACATACTGCCCTACTAACTGTACTATCTTGATTGTATGCAGAAATGAGATTTGGTAAATGTTAAAATGGGAACAAAGTGCGTCTTGGATTCGAGGCAGAGTGGTAGTAACTGCACTTCTGAATCCAGGGGAATGGGAGTTGCTGGGCCAGCATCTCAGTCTGCTCAATAGGCCTTTTTAGAAAGGTGTAGTGGAAGGTCAGAGAGGCCGGGAGCTAAGCACTACACCATCTTTAGTGTCTTCAGGAAATCACTTTATCTTCCTGAGACATAGAAGAGGTGCTGATGGGAAACCTCCACACAGTGTTTGTAAGAATGACAAGACAAGGGTCTTATAAACAATGTTGTGCTGCACAGATAAAGGTTTGTCTTGTTTTGTTTGTTTTTCAGTTTCTGACAGACCAATTACTGAAAACCAGAGTTTAGGGAGATTAGAAGAAGAAATGCCTGTAGTTTCTCAGGGAAGCTTAGCCTCTGGCACTGGTCACTTAAGGTACAACCAGGGCACCTCACCCACACAATCCAAGGCCCTCTTCCCACAATTGAAGTGTACTTTCTGTTCTCCAGGTTCTATTTCACCAACTGGCATGGGACCAACGACAATGAGCAGTCAGTGTGGAGACATTCTCCAAAGAAGCAGAAAAATGGCTACGAGAAAAAAAGAGTCCCAGATGCAACCCCTCTCCTTGATGCCAGCTCGCTAGAGTATCTGTTTGCTCAGGTAAGAAGCTTGGGCCCAGGAGAACCTAGACTCTGTGGGGTGGGTTGGGCACTGTAGGGTTCAGACTCCTGGTGTCTCCCTGCTGCAGCTGAATTTGACAGGTGCTAGGGTGCTTTACTGCCTTCTCTGTGGGACGTTCTTGCGACATCTGGACTTGCCCAAGGCAGCATTTTATGGTCCAAGAGGCTGGTTATACCACTTGTAGGTTTTCGGGCTTTCTTTCTTCCCTACTCTCTCTCTCCCTACAGACCCTAACACCCCCCCACCCCACCCAACACACACACACTCCTACCTCCTGTAGAATCTTCTGTGCAGAGAGCAGAGGGATGAACTAGGGGTGTTCTAGCTCAAGGGGACTAATGAAGCCACTGTTCAGCAGTCAGAGAAACATTTGGGAGGAAGGAGGGACCACTCTTGAGTCACAGTGGTAAGTGGGTAGGAAGATGGGACACTAGAAAAAAGCCAAAAGAGAAGTCAGAGTCACTTGAAATTTCATTACTCGGAGATGACATTTTTGCTTCCACGCTTCCTGATTTTACCAGGTAATAGGTATATTTTGTAGTCCACCACTCATCTGTCAGTGTGTCTTACTTTGTGGTAGCCTGTGTGTTGCTGTGATGGTGGAAGATATGCCACTGGTATTTCAAATACCACCAGAGCCCTCGTTGGTTGACATTTTGGCCCAAATAATTCTGTGTTGTAGGGTGCTGTCCTGTGCATTGTAGATATATAGTAGCACCATTACCACCTCCTGAAAATTGTGACAACCAAAATGTCAGTAGTTGTTGCTAGTGACCCTTGTTGGGGTGGGGTGGGGCCAGGAAAGCCCCTTGTTGATCACCACTGGTGTTGAGGCAAGCAAGAGCCGGAGTTACTGGAGAACCACAGAGGGATGGTGAGTAGTGAGGCTGTTGGGGCAGAGTGCTAACAGCTCCTGTCCAGTCTTGTGCAAGCTGGTGGTAATCAGGGGTTAAGTCTTCATTTTCAGTTCACTGGAGAGCCATCTGGAGGGTCTGATTTTGTTTTAAGGTGGTGACGCTTGTTGGTATGTAGGAAGTGGATTGATCTAGAGCCTAGAGTACATGCTAGGTAGACCAGCTAAGATGTTTCTGCAGTGGTCCAGGTGAGAGAAAATGCTGGCTTGGATTAGTGTAGTTAGGAGAAGAATGGAAGAATTCACAATGAATTTTGGAGCTAGAATTGACATGCTAATGAGTTGAATGTGGAAGGTGAGGGAATTTGAGGAATCAAAGATGATTTCTAGGTTTCTGTTTTGGGAAATGTTGCATAGATAATGAAAGACTGGGAGGATTAGATTGAGAAAGGAATAGATATTAGGAGTTCTGTTTTGGGATGTCTGAGAAATATATAAGTAGAGATTTCAGGTAGGCAACTAAATAATGAGACTGGAGTCCAGTGAAAAGGCCATTATTTAACTTTTCTTTCTGGACATTTTAGGGTTTTCTCAATTTTTCCCTTTTATGTTATCACTGTTAAGGCTGTTGTGAACAGCATTATACATACATTTTTGTGTGTTCTATTATTTCCTTAATAAACCTTAGACATTAGATTGTTGTGTGAGAGTTATTTCCTGTTTTAGAGCTTTACTAACTGATCGCAGATTATTCCTATGCATACAGACTTAGAACTGACATTAGAGACAAGACATGTTGTTGTTGTGTGCCGTCGAGTCAATTGCCTGATAGGGTTTCCTTGGTTGTCCTGTTTATGGAAGCAGACTGCCAGGTGTTTTTTTTTCCACTGGCAGTATTCATGGGTTCAGACCATGGGCAAATAATATGTTTAAAAAAATGAACATTTTCAGATGAATCTTTTTGGATTCATGTTCAATATCTGAAGCTTCTTCTCTTATCTTTTTAGAGGCCAGCAGTATAAAGGAAGAGCTACACTGTACTTTAAGGACTAAGCTCATTAGAATCTGACCTTTCCAGAGGTCTGAGAATGAGTTACTGGTGGTAATTGTATAGCGATGGTTAACAGGAAATCACCACCAACTCAAGTGTCAGATTTTATTCTGTTCTTCACACATTGACCTTGCTGACATAGATCATTGTCATTGGTTCTCATTAGTTTGTGGAAATGGTCAGTGACCTTTTCTTATCTGAGAGAAATAAGTCATAGAAAGAAGGGAGCTACCATAGTCAGACCTCTCTATCCAAGAACCATAGCCTTTCTAGAGAAAGTGAATTGACATGTGGATCTTAAAACAAACAAACAAAAACAGTTGCCATTGAGCCAGTTTCAACTCATGGTGACCCCATGGGGTACCAAAGTAAAACGGAGCTCCACAAGGTTCCAGTCCCTGACTATTTGGAAGGAGATGTCCAAGCCTTCCAAGAAACCTTTGAGTGGGCTCGAGTCTCCAGATGTATGTTAACCATTTGCATCACCCAGGCATCTCACATGTTTATACAAACACCTATTCCAGACTTCATGGCTACCTTGTTACAAGCTAAAGAAAGTTCATGATGTCACTTCTGTCAACTTTAAGTTGGTCAACAAAGAGTGAGTGTGACTGTAGTCATATATAGTCACATGTAGTAGTGTGTTTAAGAACAGTAGCTTTGGAGTCTGGTAGATTGAGGTTTGACTCTAGGTTCCACCACTCACGAAGCCTCCATCGTACTCTGTTCTTTTACTCTACTTTTTCATAACTATCTAAAACAATTGATATATTCTTTTCTTTGTCCTTGAAATCAAATTGTTTTACTGCTGTATCCCTAGCATCTAAAATAAATCTGGTCAGTAATTGGAAGTCAACAATTACCAACTGAATGAGTGGAGTTATTGCTTCACCTTTGAGGGCCTCATATTCCTGATTTGTTTGTTGAGGAAGATAATGTCAGTACCCACTCCTTTTATAAGAATTGAATGAGAAGGAGCCTGGCACAATGTCTAGCACTGAGGTGGTTCTTGTTGGTTGCCCTTGAGTCAATGCCAGCTTACGGCAACACTTGTGTACAGTGTCTAAAGGGTTTTAAGGATTGATTGCCAAGGCACCTCTGAGTGGAGATGAACTACCAACTTTTTAATTAGTAATTTAGGGTTTATTAAATGGGAGCCTATGTTTTGTCTTATCATTGTTACTCTGTACAATGTAAGTGATGGACACTGCTTTTTAGTCGTCTTTTACTTTTTGATTTTATGTTCCTGTTAGTTCTTGGAATGCTGTGCGTCTCCGTCATGAGGGGGTATATTTTGATGATAACATTTCATTATTGGAAATTTGAACCACAGGTATTGAAAAAATTTGTATGTGTACCATAGAATGTGGTTTGCTTTCCTTCTCTATAAATCTACGTCAGCACGTGTGTGTGTTAGAGGGGTGCCTTGTCCACTTTATATATCCAGTTCCCAGACCAGGACAACTCAGGAAGTGTTTGTGGAATTAATGAATGATCAAACCACAGCCCCATGTCACCTTCTTTCCTGGTTCAGGTCCTGGCCTAATACACACTACTTTTTCTATTTAAGTTATCAGTTGTACAGTGAACCCACAAAGGGATTTTGTGTATTTGCTCTGGTTATCAACGCCCAGTACAGTGCTCAGTAATCATTCATTGAATTAATTAATGTGACTAGAACATTTCCTGAGTTCCTTAGTGCCCAGCTTTAAAAGAAGTTTGGCACCAAAAGAACTGTCAATCTGATTAACCTCATTGCTGCACTGCCTTCCTGTCAAGGGCAGAAACATGGGTGGCTTTTGAAACATGCATGTTGGTTCATTTCTTTGTGCCTTTGCCCCACAGGGACAGTATGACTTGGTCAAATGCTTGGCTCCCATCCGAGACCCTAAGACAGAGCAGGATGGACATGATATTGAGAATGAGTGTCTGGGAATGGCCGTCCTCGCCATCTCGCACTACGCCATGATGAAGAAGATGCAGTTGCCAGAACTTCCCAAGGATATCAGGTAAATCTGATTGGATTTTGGCTACAGAACTGATTCTGGATGTTTTCTGTTTTATTTAGCCTCTGGCATCTTTTGGCTGACCCCTGCTTTTCTGCAAAATCCAAATCTTATTTAGAATATTTATAAATGGTAGCACAATTATAATTTTCTTCTAATTTTGAATGTTGGCTGATAACCTCAGGAACTTATACAAGTGAGGACGTTTTGTGCTGGGGATCTCAAATTAGTGGTACACATGTTCTTCCCCTCCCTACCTTACCCAAGGTGGGCATTGCTGCCTATCAGTGCACTTTTTTCTTTGACATGTTTAAAGAATCTCAGTCTGTCTCTCCGGTCAGCCACTACCATCCCCAGCTGGAACGCCATGACTGTATTACTAGATGACTGGTAACTCGGATGTCAGGGATGATCAACTGTTAACTTAAGAAAATTATATATACTTGAAAAAGTTCATCTGAGATCAAATCCTTGTAAAGGACTTTCAATCTGTATAATTTCTGCCTGTCTTTGAAATCTAATAGTGCTTCCCCTTATTGATGCCATAAATGAAGACAGAGGAAATTATGTATGTTGTGTCATGTGTGATCCATGGTGCACATCTCTCATAATATTACTTCATGTATCTATTGCTCTTGATCAGATCTGGAGCAGATCACAGAGCTTAGTAAGGCAAGGGCTGAGAAGTTACATACTCACCACTGTGGTCTCTTATTCTCTGGCCTTTCCTCTTGGCTCTCTTTTTTCCTTATGAGGCTGAAATACAAAATGACTGCTCTCCTCTAATCTTCCCCTCTGCCACTTTGTATTAATCTGAAGGAAAAACTGTGGGCTTTGTTGGGGATAAATCTCAAATGTGACTATTTCCTACTGTTTGAAACCCTCCATAAAGCAAGCAGAGCCGTGTGGCCTGTGCCAAGAGCTGTCTTAGGCCTGGAAGGAGCATACAGGAGGGTCTCCCTGTATTTTTGTCCCATCCCCAAAGGACTTGTTTTTTCTTTCATGGCTATTTATGCTTTTCTTAAAACTGGCTCCTCTTCTGGCATTGTATTATAGTTTGTTGAGGATCTTTGTGTCGTAGATTAGCATCTCTCACTTTACTTTAATACATTCACAGGGGAAATATTATGTCTTTTATATATCATTAGGTTTTGTTTGTGTTCCCCGTTTCTTATGAAAACAATATGTGACCTTTACAGAAAAAGCATAAAACAAAATAGATCAAAGTATCTGTGATCCCACCCAGAGATAACCACTTTTGACACCTCTCACCCCGTTTACTAACTGATGCTGAATCTTACTAATAGTGTATAGCTATAAGCACTGGAGTCCTGGGTTGGCACTGTAGAATAGGCACTAAATGGCACAGTCAGTTTGAACCACAAGGTCAGTGGTTCAAACTGACTAGCTACTCCTCAGAAACCCTATACAGGGTCGCTATGTGATGGTACTGACTGGATGGCACTTAATAATAACATATGTAAGCACTAAAGCACAGGAACAGGGAAAACAGCAAGCAGAAATACCGATAAGTCAGTTTTTCTCCCTGCAACTGTATTCTAGAAAATGTGATGATAACTGCAGGAATCCCATGTAGTGAAATCTGGGATTTGCACAGTGGTCTCCTCAGTCTGTTGACCACTCTGTGCCTTATGATTATCATTCTCAGTACCTATTCCATCTATCATCCTCTGGAAGGGGGTTTTCCTTTTCCACGTCACACCAGATGTGAGGAAGATTTATGGATACAGGTGTATTTCTAAACTGTTCTCTATCAACCTATACTCGAAACACAGGTATGTTTTCTTCCTTTCTTTCAGCTATAAGCGGTATATCCCAGAAACATTGAATAAGTCCATCAAACAGAGGAATCTCCTCACCAGGCTGCGAATAAATAATGTTTTCAAGGATTTTCTAAAGGAATTTAACAACAAGACCATTTGTGACAGCAGCGTGTCCACACACGACCTGAAGGTGAAATACCTGGCTACCTTAGAAACCTTGACAAAGCATTACGGTGCTGAGATATTTGAGACTTCTGTGTTACTGATTTCATCAGAAAATGAAATGACCCGATTTCATTCAAACGGCACTGTAAACACTGTCTGCTATGAAGTGATGGTGACTGGAAATCTGGGCATCCAGTGGAGGCAGAAGCCAAATGTAAGTCACTGCGGGGGGCTTTTCAGAAAAGAATCTCCTTGTTACATCATGTATTGTTTCCTTCACAGTGATCTATTTCTCAATTCCATCACCCCCATAAACTGAGTCCCTTTAGGCTAGAGACCAAGGGCCATTCGTTTTTTACTTTGCCAGTACGATATTTACCACAAGCCCTAAATAGATGCTTATTGAGCTCTCTTGGAAAATAGAGAAATGTAAGAATAACAGCATGCATGATGGGGCTTCCCAGAGTTAGTGGAACAATTCCATTTACCTTTTAATTCCATTTTTCCACAAGCTTTTTGAAGCCTTCCCTGGTGTAATACGTAATTGTAACAGACATTTACTGAGAATTTACCACGTGCCAGTCATTTTGCTAAGCTATGCATTCACTGAGTTATTCCTCAGGAGGAAAAACCCTTTGAGGAAAATACTGTTATTATCCCTGTTTACAGATAAGTACAGAGAGTCATAGAAAAATGAAATAAGATGACTAAAGTCATACGTAACAAATGATATCCCAAAATTGAACTGGTTATTGTTGTTAGGTGTTGTCGAGTCAACTCTGACTCATTGTGAGCCCATGCCAACAGAAGGAAACACTGCCCAGTCCTGTGCCATCTTCACAATTGTTATGCTTATGCTACTGAGGAGCACTCTGGCTGTACTTCTTCCAACACAGATTGGTTTGTTCTTCTGGTAGTCTATGGTACCTCCAGTATTCTTCGCCAACACCATAACTCAGATGTATCAGTTCTTCTCTGGTCTGCTTTATTCATTGTCCAGTTGTCACATGCATTGACAATACCATGGCTTGGGTCAAGCACACCTTTGTCCTTAAACTGATCTCTTTGCTCTGTATCATTTTAAAGAAGTCTTTTACAGAAGGTCTTTTGCATTCTTGACTGTTACTTCCATGAACATTGCTTGTTGATTCAAGTAAAATGAAATCCATGAAAATTTAAATCTTTTTTTTTTTTTTTTTCAATTTATGATGTAATTTATTGGTCCAGTTGTGTGGATTTTTGTTTAGTTTCCACTGACTGGTACTCCAAACTGAAGGCTATATTCTTTGATCTTCAGATCAATAAGTGATCCATGAATTATGGTAATTGACTTTGCCTCATTGAGTTTCTTTGTTGAGATGTTATGTTGAATGAGGCAATAGAGTACAGTCATTTAAGAGTATCAGTTTTAAACTATATAGATTTCAATTTTAGTTCAGCTAGGGGGTCCTGGCAGAGTCCTGGTGTGACACTGCGGGTTAATGCACTAGACTGCAAGGTCGGTGGTTCAGACTCACCAGTTGCTCCTTGGAAGCCCTGTACACAGTCACTGTGGGCCAGACCGACTTGATGGCATTTAACAACAACAACAAGGAGTCCTGGTGTGGTGCTGTAGTATCAATACTGGATTGCTAACCATAAGGTTAGTGCTTCAAACCCACCTGGCACTCCTTGGAAACCCTATGCAGAGTCACTATGAGTTAGATCTGACTCAGCGGCATTCAACAACAATTTATACAGTCTTGAGAAGGTTACTTTGAGAAGGTTACTTTACCTATATCAGCTGTGTATTATGGATGTGTAGATTATTGTTATTGTTAAAAAGTGCTGTGGAGTAGGGTCCAATTCCTATCAACCCTGTATAGGGTTTCCAAGGAATGGCTGGGGAGCTTGAACCGCTGACCTTGCAGTTCAAACAGACCTTGCAGTCCAGTGCATCATCCTGCAGCACCACACCAAGGACTCTCTGTAGATTATTATTCTGGTGTGGAGCTGTGGGTTAATGTGGTATACTGCAAAGTCGGTTTGAACTGCAAGGTTTGCAGTTCAAGCTCACCAGTTGCTCTTTGGAAACCCTATACAGGGTCGCTGTGGATCAGAACTGACTTGACAACACTTAACAACAACAATTATTGTTGTTGTTCTTATTAAGTGCCATTGAGTCGGTTCTGACTGTTAGTGACCCTGTACAGGGTTTCCGAGGAGCCACTATTGGTTTTGAACCACCTGCCTTATGGTTCAAACCAACTTTGAGGTCCATTGTTTATCCTGCATCACCATACTAGGACTCCTATTATTATTTTAAATAATGTTAAAGTAAATGCAATTCATTTTCTCCTCTTCTTGTTTTGTTCTCATGCTAAAATAACATCTACTATTTAAATGCTTTCTATGTATCCAGTCCTATGTTATAAGTATTTAAACCTCAAAGAACCTTATAAAGAGATAGGATCTCTGTTATCTCCAGGGTGGGAAACTGGGGGCTCAGAAAGCTCCTACAGAGGCAGACCTCTAGTCTCCAGGATTCGTACTACACAAAATATTAAAACTTGTGTGGTTAAATAAGACTCTTTAGTTCAAACACGGAATTCGTATCTTTTCTTGAGTAACCCAACTGTTGATAGATTCTAAATGGAGAGACCCCATGTTCTGTCCAGTCATGTTTGGGAACAACATATTCTTTATCTGTGTTGAACCAAGTGAGAAGGCCTGATTATGGATGATTCCTATCTAGTGGTCAGCTGTTTCCCTTTAGGAGTTAATTCCTAAATGCATGTTATAGATTGTGTGAAAACTTTACTCAGTGTGCTCATTAAGGTCGCCCCCAGCTCCTCTGGACGTCCATACACACTGGCTTTCTCTGCCTTGGACCTAGACTCTTCATTGGTTTACCACAGTCATTGATTGACCTTTTTTACCTGTAGAAAATGGGAAACTCAACTTATCCCTGTCACTTTATGCATCTTACCAGGTTCTTCCTGTTGAAAAGGAAAAAAATAAATTGAAGCGGAAAAAACTGGAAAACAAACACAAGAAGGATGAGGAGAAAAACAAAATCCGGGAAGAGTGGAACAATTTTTCTTACTTTCCTGAAATCACTCACATTGTCATAAAGGAGTCTTTGGTCAGCATTAACAAGCAGGACAACAAAAAAATGGTAAGTTTGCAATTAGCCCTAGATTTGGTGATGAGAGGAAGACAGTTAAAGCAGTACATTCTTCTTAAAATCCCCCCTCCACCATTCCCCCCACCCCAAATCTGATGGTTGTCTTATTTAAGACAGTCCCCAAAGTCCCTATGCTGAGACATTATCAACATCCGATTTTGAGTAGAACTGAATTGTCCTAATGCCTTTCTTTGGTCTGGCAAATGTGAATCTCCCTCAGGGTGTGTTACCTTCCTGAAGGTATCTCAGCATCAGTATTTGACTTAGAGAAGTTAGTGGATTTGAGGAAAAAGAAAACCAACTGAATGGCAGCTTTTCTCCCCAAGGCTTCCTGCTAAGCCTGTCTGCTGATCTGGGTGGGTCACATGGGGTCAGGTCAGCGGGAAGCCCCCCTTTGCACTTATGTGGGCTCTGGTCACTGTGACAGTCCTGCAGGGGGTGGTAGGCACACCCAGTGAGCCTCGGACAAAGGAAGGGGTGTTAGTCTCGCTTCCTTTTTTGGTCTCACTTGAGGCCATAATCTAGACAGGCAAGCCAGCTTGGCAGGGGAAGTGGGAAGCCTGCCAAAGTAAACATGTTTGTGTCAGGGGAAGTTGTGGCCAACAAGTGGAGACAGCAGCCTGGTGAGAGAGACATCTCACAAAGTGGAGCCAGTCAACACTGATGAAGTACCAATCTGTACCCCAAAGCCTTGCAAACACTACATGTAAATAATAACACTCAGTGCTGGAAAAGAATCTGATGCACTTGAGGACAGATGGTCACCCTTTTCCACCCAGGGTAGCTGCCTTTTTGCCATTACCTTGGTGGCTTGTATCAAGAGCCTTGAAAGTATTTCTAGCCTCCATTCAGCAATGAAGGGATTTAGTTTCCAGAAACTGAGAGAGATGCAGGCAGTGGTTGATGAATTAGATTCAGTCCAGTATCAAAACACTGAAAATAACCTAAAGGTATAGTAGTTCCGAAGTCCTGGTGTGGCACTATAGGATAAGCACTGGACTGCAAATCACAAGGCCAGCAGTTCAAACCCACCAGCTACTCCTCGGAAACGAAACAGGGTTGCTATGTTGGAACAGACTCAACGGCACTTATAGCAACCTAGTGGCAGTACTAGAGTGGAAACTCAAAGCACTCTAATACTACTAGACTAGGAATATAGTTTATTATAACCAAATTGTTGTTTATAATGATCTGGAAAAGTGCTTAGATAAATGGAAAAGCAATATCAAATTGTATAGGATGATTCTAGTTTTGTTCAGAATTACAAAAGGTTTTCGTGCATTATCAGGTGCTCCTAACTAAATAACCAAATAACAGTATTTACTTATTCACTTATTTGATAACATTTATTTATGGTGGGATTGTGAGTGACTTTGATTTATCCCCCCCCCCTTTTTATTTTACCATAAAACCTCCCAAAATCCACTTCCATCAAGTTGATTCCAAATCATAATGACCCTGTTAGGACAGAGTTTCTGAAACTTCGGGTTTCTGAGACTAACCTTTACAAGAACAGACAGCCTCATCTTCCTCCTGTGAAGCAGCAGGTGGGCTGGAACTCTCAGCCTTGCAGTCAGCAGCCCAATGCTTGACACACCATGCCACAAAGGCTCCTTTTTTTTAACAATAATTTTACCATTAAAAAACAGTGAAGGGAGAAATATAAATGTCCAGAGAGATGTTAGTGGAAAGTTGCAAACTGAAAGGAGGAAGAAAATGGTCAGTGCTTTTTATCCAACATGTTCTAGATAGATATTAGGTCATGTGTTACATGTTGTGCCTTTATGATCTCATTTAATCCTCACAAGAACCTTAGATGTAAAACACTGGCTGTATTTCAAATAGGGAATCAGAGACTTCCTGAGAGGTGTAGAAACTTGTCTAGGGTCACACAGCAAGAAAGTGGCAGGCACTTATCCAGTGTTGTCTGGTTCCAGCTTGTGCTGCTGACTGTGTTGCTTTGGTTTCTAAGGCGTTACCATCCCCAGGGACTCTAGTGAGGGAAGAGGCTGGTATGTCCATGGGCTGGCTCTTCAACATGGCCAACTCCTTAGGGCACAGAGAGCTGGAGAAGCAGCAGCCATCTGGTAGGTCTGGGAGCCTGCCCCTGCCCTGTCCTGTCCTGGCTGACAGTGCAGCCCAGTACCCGGCCTGTAAGTTGGTGCTTATCCTAGCCATCTGAACCAGCATAGCCACAGTGCTGTGTGGGGAGCAGGAGGGAATAAATATGTCATCTCCCTGTTACTTTATCTTTCATTTCCAACACTTTGCTAACCCTTACTACTATGTGTCAGGCACTGCTTGTTGTTCTAAGCACTTTAAAAATATTGACTTCATTTTCATATCAATGCTGTTGTTGTTGTTAGGTGCCATTGAGTTGGTACCGACTCATAGCGACCCTGTGTACAACAGAATGAAACACTGCCTCGTCCTGTTGTGATATTTGAGCCCATTGCTGCTGCAACTGAGCCAGTCCATGTTGTTGGGAGTCTTCCTCTCTTTCTCTGACCCTCCACAATATCAATCATGGCATCCCTCTCCAGTGACTGATCCTTCCTGACAATATGCCCGAAGTATGAGCATATGGCTCATACATACGAAGTATGGCCTCCAAGGAGCACTCTGGCTGCACTTCTTCCAACACAGATCTGTTGGTTCTTTTGGCAGCCCATGGTACTTTTAATATTCTCCTCCAACACCATAACTCAAAGACATCAATTCTTCTACAGTCTTCCTTATTCACTGTCCAGCTTTCACATGCATATGAGGTTATTGAAAATACCATGGCTTGAGTCAGGCGCACCTTAGTCCTCAAGCTGACATCTTTGCCCTTCAATACTCTAAAAAGGTCTTGTACAACCAGGTGGGTTTATTTTTTTCCCCGTTTTAAAGAAGAGGAAACTGAAGCACGAGGAGGTTAAGTAAGTTGCTCAAGATCACACAGCTCTTAGATTAAATCACAAAAAATTGACAATATTTTATAAAAAAAAACAACAACAATGATTTTATATGCTTTAACTAACAGCAAGTGAAACTGGTGACATTTGAACCCACAAAGACTGTCTCCAGAGCCTGTGGGCTAACAGCTATACCATACTGACGCTCCAGTATCTCCTTTCCCCTTCCCTTCCCAGATGTAGATTTCCATGCTTTTTGATTAGACATAACTCTGTCTGCTGGTCTTTCTTAATATTCTATTCTCAGGACATCTTGTTGACACCTCCCATTTCCATTTAGACTTCTGCTTGCAAGGAAGTGAAATAACTCTGTAGTCTTGCTTGTCACACAGCTGATTGAGGGGCTGCTCCAGCCAGCCCTGCTTCTAATCCCAGACCAGATTGAATTCGCTCTGTGGGAATAGCTGCGGGTGGATGCTGTTCCTGCATCCACAGATGTCACACCTGACAGGAAGCATACTTAACAAAGAGTCTCTTTCCTGACACCCTGATGTCTTTTGGCTACTAACACCATATCTGCTCCCTTTGGCATCACAGCTAGCTATCTCGAGGCTCCCCTTGTCTGGTGTACCTCCTTTCTGATACCCACCATCTTTTCCATTCACTGGTCCTTTAGTCTGTGTGTGTGTGTGTGTGTGTGTCTCACTCACCACCCTCTCATTTTGTCTTTCTTTTGTGTTATGAAAAGTTACAGTCTCTAGTATCAGTTTGCCCTTCTCTGAGACTCAGGTACTTTTGACTATTTCTGTGAGTCAGAGCTCACTCTGTGCCCCTAGACAAGTTTCACCATGTCTTGAGAAATCTCTGATTCCCTGTTTGATGTTCAATCAACATTATACAGCTAAGGTTCTTATGAGGATTCAGTGAGATAACATGTTGGATAAACAGCACTTGATTATTATTTTCTTCTGATTTTTATATTTTATCTCTTCATTGATATCTGTCTGGGTTTTCTGTTTCTCCTTTCACTTTGTTTTCACCATTTTTTAATGATAAAATTAATTACACGTGTTTCATTACGAGAAAATGCTCCTGGTTGGCCCCGTGTTGTTGTTGTTGTTGTTAAGTGCTGTTGAGTCAGTTCTGACTCAGTGACCCTGTATAGGGTTTCAGAGGAGCTGCTGGTAGGTTTAAACCACCAACCTTGCAGTTCAAACCTACCTTGTACTCCAGTGCATTATCACGTAGTGCCCCATTGTTGTTGTTCTTAAGTGAAATCGAGTCGGTTACAACCTATAGTGACCCCATATAGAGTTTCTGAGAAGCAGCTGGTGCGCTTAAACCTCTGACCTTATGTTTCAAACCAACTTTGCAGTCCAGTGCATTAACTTACAGCGTCCCCTTAGCTCCTCTCAAATGGGTGGTCTCTGCTCATGGTTATATCATCAAGACAAAAAAACCCAACCTGGGTTTACCACAAAGAGTTTTTCTGAATTCCTTCCTCCTATGAAAATTTCCTCTCTTCTCCCCTCCACTTTTGCCTTTGTCTCTTCCCATTCTCAGCCAGACCCCATGCCTCCTCCTAACCCTCAGAGGAACTTAGACTTATTCTAGTTTTCTTGTTGTGTATCTGGGACCACTCTGTGTTAATATCCAGGGGTTTGACCTTTAGACCAGCTCTACCATGAGATGAAGTGTCTGTTTCCTTATCTGGAATATAGGGACAATGCTGGCTCCGTCATTCATGGCTTCATGCCAGCACCTGGATACGACTCATATTCTCTCCACTGAACTGGCTTCCTCTTCTCCGTGGTCTCCCTCCTGTAGCCCTGGCCACCTCCATTCAGTAGTCTTGATAATAAGATAATGGATGGGAAGGTATGTTGAACAGTAAGAGGTATATGATTGTTAAATGCCATCAAGTCAGCTCCAACTCATAGCAACCCTGAATAGGATTTCCAAGGAATGGCTGGTGGGTTTGAACTGCTGACCTTGTGCTTTGCAGTCCAGTACTGATCCTACAGTACCACACCAGGAAACCGTAAAGTGGTATAGTTACCAACTAAAAAGTTTCCCTTTGGGGTCCATGGATTCATTTTGGTCTAAATATCTTCTTACTGTTTACCTCTCCACAAAGTCAGCTGCTTAAGATGATAGTAAGTAACCATGGGAATTTCTTTTCTCTCCCCAGGAATTGAAGCTCTCTTCCCACAAGGAGGCCTTGTCCTTTGTATCTCTGGTAGATGGCTACTTCCGGCTCACAGCAGATGCCCATCATTACCTCTGCACCGATGTGGCTCCCCCACTGATTGTACACAACATACAGAACGGGTGTCACGGCCCAATCTGGTGGGTTCCAGATCCTTTTCAGTTGCTTTTGGTGGGGAAAGAGCCCATACTGTAGTGATGGGACATGTGACCTCCTCAGTTCATATGATTAGTGTCAGTTTATCATGTTGATAAGGACTAATTGCTGCTCTCCCAACCTTGGTTGGGCCTTCCTATTGTCTCTTACTTGGGTTCTTGTAGCAATCACTCACCTTTGTCCTCACCTGAGTCCAACTCCCTCCCCTCTCCATAACTGATGGAGAAGTACTACATGTCTTAACTCCTTATTTCATCAAAGTTGGTGGATGATTAACGAAGAGTATGATATAGGTGATCAACATCAGGCAGTGTAGCAAACAGTCCTGTGACACCTGCCCTCAAATACCAGGCGAGTGTGCAGGGATTCTGTGGGATTTAGTGGGATCTAGTCCCACCTGGATTTCAGAACTGGTAGCCTGCGCTCAAATTCCTCTGGTGGTGACTGCCAGTAGATCACAACTCTAGCCGTTATTGATGAACAGACTTTTTTATATGGAACTGAGGTTTACTTCTTTGTAATTTCCTCCCATTTTCCTAAGTTCCGACGTTTGAGGCAGCAGTGATCTCATTAACTCCCTCTTACAGGTGAGCACCATTCATGCCAAGGAACCCGGCTACTGTCTTGCTTCTGAGTCTCTTCTCAGACTGCAGAAGCATCTCTTCAGCCGCCTCCCATCTTCTTCTGTATCCTGGTTACCTCTTGGACAGGTGTTTTTAGTGGTGTGGTTCCTGGGAGACAGATGTACAAACAGTTGCTAAGCAAGGGGTGGAGTATTATAATAAAGTCTGCTCTTCAGCCATCCCTACCTTGGTTCTCCTCAGAGTCCTAGCATGTGCTGTTCCTTTTACCCTGAATGTCCTTCCTCCAGGACCTAGGCAGCCTCCACTTCCGTCAGGTGTGACTTGGATATCACCTCTCAGTGAAATCCTCCCGGTGCACCTTACGTCAGATAACAACACCATTTCCCCTGTACTCCCTGACCCTGTCACCCTGCTTTCTTTTACTTTAGTGTTATGTGTCACCCCTGCCATAGATCTATTTATTTGTCCCTTTGTGTCTTGTCTGACTCTCATCACCCCCCAGAATCTGAACTTCAAAAAGGAGGACACCTATAGTAGGGTCTGCCACATGGCAGTGACTCAGTAGTTGTGAATGTCTGAGTGCTTGATGTTCTGTGGGAGCCTGAAACTCATTGACTAAGGAGTCTGCCCAGGGTGAGCAGCATTCAAATGATGTTTAACCTGAAGGATTTAATGATAGTTTATCAGGTCATAAAGAGGGACAGGGTCGTCCAGATGAAGACTCGGTATGCATGAAGGTTTGGAGCAATCAGAAAGTACTTAATGTCTGCCTTTTTAAAACACCGTGGCCATGCCACTCATCTTTAATTAATACTTACTGAGCATGCACTAGGCAGGAGTGACCTCATACAATGATTTATTTAACCAGCGTTCTCTGTCCTCTATCCCTGGGACTGATGGGTCCTGGGGATACGATGAGTACAAGATAGGTATATTCCCTACTACCTCCTTTCTAATTCTCAATGACTTACTCATTCAACGTGTTATTTTGTGAGCACCAACTGTGCCAGGCATGTTTTGGTTACTGGGGACATAGCAATGAACAAAACAGCCCAAAACCCTGCCCTGAAGCTCATGTTCTAGTTGTGCTGGCTGGGAGTGGTGGGGAGGATTGGGATCCTGGCCACTGCATTACTGGCAGCTCCTGATCACCAGCCTTGGGGAGATTCTTCTGATTGGTGCTGGAGACAGAACGTCTGGGGAACTTGGGGCAAGCAGGACTCAGTGACTTGGACAGCAGGCTGTATCCCCATCTAGACATTTTTGTTGTGAAGTGCCATCAAGTCGGTTCCAACTCATAATGACCCTGTCTAGGGTTTTATGTCTCGAGACGCCCTCAAGAGCTCAGCATGCCTGACATACAAGGTCAGAGAGGGCGTCCAGACCGAAGGCAGGAAAGGTGATGGGGCCATGAAGACAGGTAATAGCTCAGGGGAGTGACTATCCCAGTAGCTTAGAGTGCTCCTGCTTGGCCTGAGTGTTTCCTACTTTCTTCATCTCCCCCTCCAGCACAGAGTATGCCATCAACAAACTGCGGCAAGAAGGAAGCGAAGAAGGGATGTATGTGCTGAGGTGGAGCTGCACCGATTTTGACAACATCCTCATGACCGTCACCTGCTTTGAAAAGTCTGAGGTCAGTCAGGACACTGAGGTGGACCAAACTATCTGTAGCTATGGTGTGTCCAGTGGGACATGGTCCAGGAGCTGCTGCAGAGAGGACTGCCTTCGGGGCTGGGTATTGAAAAGCTTTCGTCTCTAAGAGAATTGTTGACAAGAGTAACCTACTTCCCAAAAGGAGGCTGCTCCTGAGCCACCAAAGGCTGTCCCCTTTCCTCCTCATGGCCCTTTGGTCCTCCAGGGACCCACGGCAGGGGTCCACTGTGGCTCTAGAGGATAGACTATAGCTCAGAAGTCAGCTTGCCTCAAACACTTGGGGAGAGTGTACTGTAATTATTTAGGGAAGTTGATTTCTAATAGAATGTGCCAAGTTTATCACAGACTCAGAACTTGTTTACAGCATTCTCTGCTACAAACAGTGCTCAGGAAGCTGCCTTACCAACGTAGTCCATCACAGTTTCCCCCACAGACACTATCAGAAAAATTGCCATTCCATTTTGACAGTACGTGGAGATGCTTAATGGTAATTCTAGTGAAGTTGGAAGTCAGGAATGACTTGAGGGAGGTCCTTGAAGGCCAAGATGTGAGCCAGAATTCTTGACCATATTTCACTAGCCACAAATGCCTTTGTTATTCATGACATTAAAAATATATATATATATATAAGAAGTGGAATATTTTTTAAAGATGGTGAGTTTTATAAAAGTTAGTCTGAGTAGATAGATTAGTGCTGATTGGGTTCAGTGAGAACTGGGAGAACTGGGGTAGAGGAAGAGCACGTCAGGTGGGTGTCAGCACACTAGTGTATTGTTGCCCTCTGATGCAGGAAGGCAAAGTGCTAGTGAGCCTGAGAGGCCAGGGCTGAGTTAAGAGTAGGAAGAGGAAATGGCAGAAGGAACCCAGTGCTGCCAGTCATTGGAGGCGAAGTCTCCAGGGGCCACTCCCTGCCTGGGGGGGTTGTTCCTGCACAGTTGGATCTCCTGGCTGGTACAGGTTCATTTTCTCAGAATCTGTCAGTCTTGTTACCTTGACAGAGTGCCTGACCTCTTATTTATCAGTTGTTGCTGTTAAGTGCCGTCGAGTTGGTTCTGACCCATAGCGACCCTGTATAGAATTTCTGAGGAGCGGCTGGCTAGTTTGAATCACCGACCTTGCAGTTCAAACCGACCTTGAGGTTGAGTGCTTATCCTATAGCACCACACCAGGACACAGTCATTAGAGGAAGCTTAATCTTCCTCCACCATCAATGGATGCATGAAACAGCCAACCCAATTCCCGTGCTGTACCCAGAATGTCAGTGATTCCATAACGGGGCCTCCCTGGTGTCAGTTCCCCGGGGGAAACAGTAGATAATGATTGTTTCTGCTGTGTTCCGTCTAGTCAGTTACGTCTCCTAGTGATTCCATAGGACAGTGGTAGAACTGCCACACAGTTTCCTGGCCTAACTCTTACACTGTGGCACTGGAGGATCAACACTGGACTGCAAACCACAAGGTTGGTGGTTCAAATCTGCCCGGTGCTCCTTGGAAACCCTGTACAGGGTCACTCTGAGTTGGAACCAACTCAGCAGCACTCAACAATAATCTTAATGAGAACAGATCACCAGGTCTTTTCTCCCATGGAGCCGCTGGATGAGCTTGAACCCCTGACCTCTGGGTTAGCAGCTGAATACTTAACCATTGCACCACCAGAGCTTTTTTATAGATACGAATATTGCTGTGTGTTTTAACTCACTAGGTGCTGTGCTCAGCACTTACAAAGCCAATAGGATAGGTGGTATTATCCCATTGTACAGATGAGGAAACGGAGGCACTGAGATTTTAAATAGCTTGCTCTAGTTTACACAGAAAGTAGGCTTTTCTGGCTCTCACTCTTAGCCACTAAAATAGTTTCCTTGGTGCTGTAAGATAAGCAAGGTCAGTGGTTCAAACCCACCAGTCACTGCTCAGAAACCCTACATAGGGTTGCTGTGAGTCAGAACAGACTCAAAAGCACTTAACAGCAACAACAACATACAAAAAGTGCCCATGAAAGAAACCTTCTGTGCATACTTATCGGTGGCACCAGAGAGCCTTGGGACCAAGGCAGCTGAATACCAGTTTCCACTGTGGTTCTCCTGTAACAAATGTGTGGATCAGAAGGGCTCAGTTTGAGGGAGTTCCTGGATAAATAGTTTTAGGGTAGGTATTGTTACATGGGCATTAACATTGTAGCGTGTCGTGGGTACAAATCGGGCTGCGAACCTTAAGTTCAGCAGTTCGAAACTACCAGCTGTTTCACGGGAGAAAGATGAGGCTTTCTGCTCCTGTAAAGATTTACAGGCTCGGAAACCCTGTAAAGGGTCGCTATGAGTCGAAACCGACTCCACAGCACATAACAACAACAACAACAACAATCCTTATAGGAAGTCCTGGTGTGGCACTGTAGGATAAGCACTGAACTGCTAACCTCAGGGTTGATGGCTCAAACACACCAGCTGATCCTTAGAATGCCTATACAGGGTTGCTATGAGTCACAACCAACTCGATGGCACTTAGTAACAACAACATCCTTATAGAGTGCGTACTAAGATGTTTACATGGACTGTACTCTAGCAGCAGTGTTGTGAGGTCAGTACTATCCTAATACTCATCTTACAGGTCACAAAACAGGTGAGGCTATTGTGGAAACTGCTTTTTTACGCTGTCTTCCTAGTGGTTACTTCCTCCTTGACCCTCTTTTATCAGTTATTCACTTATTAGTCAATGGTGAGTTTATTTATAATCAACCTTTTATTTTTGAATCATTTTAGATTTACAGAAAAGCTAGAGATAGTGAAGTTTTTTTTATATACCATTCATCCAACTTCTTTAATGTGAATATAAATATGAGTCCGTTTCGACTCATAGTGAACCTGTACAGGGTTTCTGAGGCGTGGCTGGTGGATTTGAACCACTCAAGGACCCATGGTGTATTTGTTGATCCCTTTATAAAAAAATAATTTCTGGTCGTTTTCTGAATGGCAGGTACTGGGTGGTCAGAAACAGTTTAAGAACTTTCAGATCGAGGTACAGAAGGGCCACTACAGCTTGCACGGTTCAGACCACAGCTTCCCCAGCCTGGGAGACCTCATGGGCCACCTCAAGAAGCAGATCCTGCGCACCGACAACATCAGCTTTGTGCTGAAACGCTGCTGCCAACCCAAGCCCCGAGGTTTGTATTCCCGTGGTGAAGCCCTCTGCCCCTTGGTGTCTCTTACTTGTTCTAATGTCCAAATGAACCCAAAGATGCTGCTTGGTTAAGAAAACATGGCCCTTCCCCACAGTTTCTGGTTATTTTTTCACTGACTTTTGTTACAAGTCTATTTTTAACTTGGATTCCATTGTTCAAATCCAGCATTTACTACAGAAAAGAAATACCATTTTTTCTTTTCTCCACATGCCAGATTGCAGAAAGGCATGCTTAAGATTAGTAGCAGAAGCCTTTTTAAAGCTGCCCTAAAATACTGCGTTTCCTTGTTACTTATTTATGAGCGAAATGGTCCAGGTACATCCTCTGTGAGTCAAGACCTGCACTAGATGCTAAGAATCAGAAATGGATGGTACCCAGCCCTTGTTCTCTGAGGGTTTTCAGTTTAATGCAGAAAATGTTACAGATAGATGGGCTCACTGTAGTAGGTGGTGGGCATTTTAATCAGAACAAATACTAAACCCTGGCGGCCAAAAGAAGGGGACGATCAGGATCCCTGAGTAACATGACATGGAAAGCCTGAGTAACATGACATGGAGGCAGACCTAGAACTATGTGGGACATTGAGCAGGAGGTTAGACACCGACATTTCCAACAAAGCAAAGGTCATATGCAGAAGCAAAGTGACAGGCAAAAGCAGGCACTTCAGAAAGGTTCTTGGTGGTTAATGTGTATGTGAAGTTGAAAAAAAGGGGGGAAGCTGAGTATAAAAAGGGGTAGATTTCAGATCATGAGAGCCCTTAGGTACCATACTAAAGAGCTTGGACTTCGTTCTGCAGGCAGGGGTAGCCATGAAGGAGCAACGAGCCAAATGGATAGGAGGAAGAGCTCAACCAGTCTTTTTGAAGCCCCATGCACACACGTCACTGGTGAACTACAGACATAGGATGTGTGGACTGGGAGGACTGCTTGGGGGTCATCTGGTCAGGTGTCTCATTTTACAGATGAAGGAACAGGCCCAGGGGAATGAAGTCATGAGGGTCAAATTCAAAGAGGGGTTTGAGTACCAGGACTGCACAAATGTCAGATCCCTTGCATATTGTGTTCCCTGACCATGAGACATTGCCCTGAATGTGTCAGATCCTTCCTTACAAGGGCTCAGGCCCTAGACAAAGGACAATGAGTGTAGTTGCTCCTGAGCGCCCCCACTAAGTGTGGGGTATGAGATGCTTAGAGGTGTTCCTTTGCATCAGTGAGTCTGTAATTAAGTCATGGTTGGGCAGAGGAATCACCACCAGGACAGAAAGGGATCTGAGTTCTTGATGTTTGATCTCGCAGTGACAGACTCATCACTTGGCTCAGAAAGAGTTCCCTGTTAGTCTTGAGGAATGACTAATTTTATACTTGGAGATGTTCTGCAAACACATCTGCCAGATAGCCATGAGGTCTCAGGCCAGTTAAAATCTTAAAGCCAAGTGTCTGTATGTACTCACATAAATTCTCCTTCTGGTTATTAAAACAGTTTTTGCTTTCTTAGGAATTAGTAGTCTCTAAGTGAGGGTGGGAAGCAAGGAAGAGAGAAGGTGAGGATAGGCTGCAGGCAGGGACCTGAATTCTTTGCAGGGCTCAGGTGGGGAGGTCTCTGGTTTAGACAACACCCCCATTAACCCAGGCCCGGGAAGGCGGGAATGTGGAGAAGGGAAGCACAGAAATGGGAGTTGAACCTCTCATGACTTCTGTAGAAGCTCCTGGAACTCAGCCCTGAAAGTATTGAGTGTTTGTGTCCTTGATTATGAACTCTGAAGACACAATCTGGGTCTCTCGCATTAACACTTGATGACTGGTTGGAATAAGCCCTGTCTGTGAGGTTCCTGACACAGGTCCTCAGAAGCCTGCTATCTTCCCTTTGCCACCTGTAAATTAGAGAAGTGGTGAAATCATGAAAAGTAAAAAGAATGTCATTTTGGGTTTCCCAACTCCTTTGGCTTCCTAACCACAGGGGCTGACAGACAGACCCTGACCTGGTTTCTCACTTGAAACATTTCATGAAAATACAGGTTCATAAAGGTTAAGCGACTCCCCACCTCACAGAGTTGACCATAGTGCCATGTTCTCATCGTCCCCCTTTCCTGTTCTAATTTTCCAAATGCCTCTACCGCCCTGGCCCCTCTTCATTCAAAGAGGCCCTATCTTGATGTCATCACTCCTTTGGGCAGCCCCAAGTTGATTCTTTCCCTCTGATTTTCCTGGTGGGGTGGGGTCAGAATAGCAGTATGGAGTGGGGTAGGCTAGAAAAAGGAGACGCTTGTATCTGAAGACAGCATCCAGGAACCCACTAGGCCCAGGTAGTGCTATGGAATGGGAAAAGGTTCAAGCCCTCCCAGACATCACTGTGAATTCTAAATCTGTGACTTACTGACTGCGCTTGATCTTAGGCAAACTATTTTCTCTTGAAATCTGTTTTCTGCGGTACATAATGTGGGAAAGAATAGCACACACCTCATGGATTGCGATGGGGTAAACGAGTAAATATATGTAAATCTCTTGGAACAGAGGCTGACATAGAAAGCAGTCAGAAAATTGAAGCTATAAAATCGTTGGGGCAGAGGGAAGGTAGAGGAGGGGCAGAGAAGGGAAGAACTCTGCAGGGTAGTGAGGATTTAAGAAACCACATCAGAGTCACATGTCCCAGTGTCAGGGACCCTGTGCTGCACAGCTATTGCCTCCTAGTGGCATGTGGCGGCCGCCCCCATAAATTGTCCTGCTTCTCCTTTTAGACCTTTGGGGAACTTCCTTCTATTAAGATCTAAGAATCAAGACTTTGTTTCTTTTACAGGAAAGTGGAATGGAAGGGAAACATCTGTTGTTATTTCACTATTTCTGCCTCATTAAAAAAAAAAAAAAGACATAGAAACCCTCAAGGATTCCCAAAATACCTTGCACTGCAAGCCAGAACCTAGAAGCTACCATCTTCCCATGTGACAACGTTGCAGCTCATAGTGGCTCCGTGTCAGCAAAACAACATCTGTGGACTATCAGTGCCCAAGTATCTACCTGTGCCGACATGGCACTGCAGATTTTGTGACATGTTTAGTTTGCTGTTTGAATCCGTAGGATTTGGGTGCTAGTCCATTCTGAGTCTGTTCATTTGGCAGACATTTGTTAATCGCCTCCTCTCTCGGGCCTGCTGGCCTAGAAGTTCAGAGATTCAGACATGACTTTCTTTCTGGGTTACTTGTCCTGCTCCTCTGGCACAAAACCAGCGTTTTCCACCTTCCCACCTTGGTTCCCATCACATCCTAAGTCCAGAGCACTGCTGCTTCCTCCCATCTCTGGTCTCATCCCTCATATCATACCGTGCATATTCACTCATGCATTTAACAAGTACTTAGTGAATGACTACTGTGGACAGGGCAGTGGGGGCAGCGTAGAAAACTAAATAGACCCACTCACTTCCTTCTTGGTGTTTTCTTTATTAGCTTTTAAAGTTTCCTTAGAGGAACCTTCCCTGGCTTTCCTTACTAGGACAGATCTGGCTGGTGTCCATCTTGAAACACCAGAAGCCTGTCCTTTATTTTAGCTGCACAAAATCATTTGATTAGTTGGTTATTTTTGACTATTATTAATCTCCCCTCTTGGTGGACAGGAATCTGGTAGTTAATAAATAAGCATTGAATGACTCAACCAACAAATACACACGTGTGTTCCGCAAACCTTGTGGTTCAGCAGGCATCGGCAGGCTGGATTTGGGGCCTTCACTACCATGTACAGACCTCTCCGATCTCTCCACAGAAATCTCCAATCTGCTGGTGGCTACCAAGAAAGCCCAGGAGTGGCAACCCGTCTACCCCATGAGCCAACTGAGTTTCGATCGGATCCTCAAAAAAGATATCATTCAAGTGAGTCTTTGCTGTAGTTCCTGTGTCTAGCCTTGGTCCCACCTTGCTCCAGCGAAACAGACTTGGTGGAAATGAAGTCTGGGCTTGGGGGAATCCTGGTAGAGAAAGAACAAGATGTTCTTTCCGTTGTTGTATCAGTTCAGATGGTCCGCTGGTGGCTTGGCATCCTGTTGACCTCTTTCAGGCTCCTCAGTGACAATTTTTCCTTGAAGAAACTGAACAGTCAAGTGTTTGGGGGTTCTCTAGGGTGGCATGGCCCATTCTTACATGCAGGGGTTGGGTTTCTTCTTTCTCCCCACCTGCTCTCTCCATTCCCTTGAGTCTCTGGTTTATCCCTTCAGCATTCACTTAGCCAACAGCAATTGAGCCACTTATATATGGGCAGCCAGGATTGCTACCCTCAAGTGCAGTCTAGTGAGGAAGGAGGTGGACTCTTGTCAGTCACATTATCAAGAGATAAGGCTTAAGGTGCAGAAGTACAGGGAATGTGGAAAGTATGACATGGGGCCTGCATCGGACCTCCTCTGACTTCACCATCCACACCAGTCCAAGGTTGACTCTACTCTCCACCCTTTTCACCTGTTCTTATACCAGCCGTCCCTCCCACAGCACTCTGAACTTCTTAGCTGGCTTTGTCACAAAGGCCACACACAAACTCAGACACCAGTCTCATGATTATGGGGTTTATTAGGGATTTTAACATGTTATGATTCAGTCAGGACCGCGTCTTCTCAGTCAGGCCTGCAGGCAGACCTCTCTCTGGCCTTTGGTCCCTTAACCAGGCCTTTGCTCTCCTTGGGCAGTGTTACAAAGGGCTGCTGAAAAATGCTCCAAAGGCACTCGTCTCTAACAAACCTTGCTTCCCCACTTAAGTGCCTGGAGCATCCCAATCCACAAACGAACCTCCTTCCCATAGGCTTTACTTGGTACTTTTGCTAAGAAGCTCACAACTCTATCTCTTGGTTCTGCTGCTGCCACTCCTCTGGTGTCACAGCTCTGCGTCCTGGGTCAAGGAGGTTCAGCATGCATGGGTCTCAGGCTCTTGTTGGTAGTGAGATCCTCCATTCTGCCTCTGAGATGGCTCATTTTAAACTCAGCAGGATGGCAAGATTGACCAATCCCCTCATTAAATTTCCAAGTTTTTACAATTACAGTGCACAGTGTTAACAGTCACTCTCAACTGAAACGTTATATACTCCTATTAGCATCTTCCTGTACCTACTTTTACCCAGACCCATCAGGAAAAGTCATTTGGTGGGTGTTACAAACATATGGCTAGAAGAGACATATGAAATAATTATAAAGGCGCCTTGGTGGGCTGCAGCGGGATCCTGACAGCATGGTGCCATGACTTGACCACTGGAGTCAGTAACCTTCTGGGGAAGAATGATTATTCTGAAAGCATATGGCTTTTACGGGATGTTCTGGGAACACCGTTTCCCATAAACTCTGATTGATTGTTCCTTGATAACTGCAGCTTTAATGAATAGTCCAAGACCTTACCAGGCCAACGCAGACTGGGCGGATGTCTCACCATTCTGCTCTGACAGATGACAAATGGTAGCATTTGTGCAAATTAATATACTTGATTAACAGTTGGGTACATTTCTGTGGGGGATGGGTCTGATTCTCTAGGTATCAGTCCCAGTGCATTTTCTGCATTTACCAGGGACTGTCAGCAGCTCAACAACACCTCAGTTTCAGGAATCACATTTTGATTTCCAAAGACTGAGGAATCAAGAATCAGGATCAGTGACACTTAAGTCAGAGGAGACCCTAGAGACAGATGTGCTAACGGTTTTGTAGAGATTATCTCATTTACTTCCCATACCACTCACTTTGGTGGCATCATTATAGACTCATGGGTTTGAACAATGAATATGTTTTAATCCAGAACAGATGTCCATGCTGATGCTCACATTGTCCCTACTTTGGCCAGGGGGCAGTTGGTCAAGCTGGAACCTGAGCCTTTGACAGGATCTTGGTCAGTTGCAGTTGTAGTTGTTTTACTTTTCTGATGTAATTATTTGTTTCCAGGCTGATGTTACGCATGTCTACCCCACATCTGAAATTAGCCATGTTTTCAAGGAGCCTTGAGGCTATGTAGTGGAAATGAGATTTGAATATGCAAGGAACCATTACTTATGCCCATTGATTCTCAGCCTTTTCAGTGTTGTTGTTGTTAAGTGCCGAGCCAGTACAGACCCATAGCGACCCTGTATAGGGTTTCTGAGGAGAAGCTGGTGAGCTTGAACCTCCAACCTTGCAGTTCAAACGACTTTGCAGTCTGGCACATCAGCCCACAGTGCCACACCAGGACTCCCTAGCCTTTTCAGTAGATGGTGCTAAATTGTTTGTTTTTAAGATAAAATGTGTCATCTGTTCAGGAGGATACTTCTGACTCAACTTCAGGGCAGGTACAGGGTTTTTGATGTTTAGCTTCCTCAAACTGCTAATTGTACCTCCTTCCATGTTGAAAGCCCCAGTTCTTACTGCCAGTATACTTGCTTGCTTTGTCCCGTGCTAGGTATGCCACCAACCCACACACACTCCACCATCAAGTCGATTCTGACTCATAATGACCCAAGGCTGTAACTCTACAGAAACAAAAAGCTGCATCTTTCTCCATTGGAGCAGCTAGTGGAGTTTAATCAGTGACCTTGCAATTATTAGTCCAGTGCTTATCGGACAGCACCCTCAGCGCTTCTTACACGTATCACAGTCTCATAATAAAATAGTACAAGCACTCCCAGCAGCAGTATGATGACTTGAAAACAGTTTTAAGTTTTTGCTTTTGGAATTCTTTTTTGTCTTTAAGACATTCCATTGGGATATACAGGAAATAACTTGTTTTAAAGTCACTGGAAGTGATTTGTTTATGTAATTAGGCTATTAACTGAGCACATGCTTAGGTTCATGTTTTATTTCACTTTGGATTTTTAAGTCTTCCTTTAAAAATTAATTTTATTATAGATATGAAAGGTAGTTGCATTGTTTCTGAGTCAAATCTACAAAGCTACGACTATTCAGAGTTGGCCAATGTCTGTCTCCTCAAAAACGTATTCTTGGTATCACTCATAGTGGTTTATAGAAAACGTCTTCATTTCTTTTTAGTTTTGTGGTACTCCACTATGTGGCTCTACCTTCATTTATTCAACCAGTTCCCAATTGATGGAGTTTAGACTCTCATATACTTTGCTGTTACAAATAGGGCTGAAATAAGTAGCTGTATGCATAACTGTATTTTTATAAGTGTATCTTTGGGATAGATTCTTAAAAGTGGGTTTGATAGGGCAAAATTCATATGTAATTTTCATCACTGATTCTAACACATTTGCATACACACACACACACACATGCTAAATGGATGGAAAGTGAACACTTGGAGTGGGAGAAATAATGAACACCTGACTTAAAGAGCTATCAAAGCAAAGTCACTCTACTTGGCTTCTACCCATCACATGCCAGAGTCTGTACCAGGAGACTTTATAATTATTTGATTCTTGCAAGAATCTTTTGATTGGGTACTGCTACCATCCCTACTTACAGAGTGGTCAGTTCAGTCAGCAGGCTGTAGAGCCAGGACGTCCAAGGCCCTTTGCTGTACACTCAAACATGTGCTCTGCATCTAGCCTGGAGGCCTAGGATAGGCCTACTGTGGCTACCTACTGGGGTGCTGTTTGTAATATGAGAGTATGTGAAGATTGTGTTTTAATCACAGGCTGTTCCTAGAGGAGAAAAGCAAAGAGCATTTTAGGAAGAGTGTGAAGTGTCTCAGGCAGCCCAGGAAGTGCCAAACTGCTTGGCCACATACTTTTAGTTGCCTCTGGAGGCCTTACCAGGATACGCTTGTGAATGTTGGGCTCTTTTATGTTCACCCCATTCCATTAAAGAACTCAGGAGCCCTGGTGGCACTGTAGGATAAGCACTGGACTGCTAATTGCAAGGTCAACAGTTCAAACCCACCAGCCACTCTGCAGGAAAATGAGGAAGCTGTCTGCTCCCATAAAGATGTACAGTCTCGGCCATCCTTCCCAGGGTCGCTATGAGTAGAAACAGACTCGATGGCAGTACATTTGGTTTGGTTTGGAGTATTACAGTCTCAGTACCAGACTTCTGCTGCCCTATGTAAAGTTCACCGTAACCTGCTTTCTCTCTCAGGGTGAGCACCTTGGGAGAGGTACAAGAACACACATCTACTCTGGGACACTGTTAGATTACAAGGATGATGAAGGAACTTCTGAAGAAAAGAGAATAAAAGTGATCCTCAAAGTCTTAGACCCCAGCCACAGGGACATTTCTCTGGTAAGTGCCTTCTCATAACCCAAGCCTTCCCATCCTCCATTTTCAGGAGCTAGTGGAACACAGTGCACTTGGAAGAACCTTCAGCCTTATTTTGGCCTAGTGGTTTTCAAACTTGTCTTCAGTCAAAATAGCTTCAGATACAATATTGGGGTTAGACCCAGTGTATTAAATAAGTATGGGTGGATTGGAGCTGAGGCGGATTGAACAGCCCCTCACACTTGGCCTGCCCAGACCACCTATTTCCCATGCCCTGAAGAGAGGCCCCTGAGGCAGCCTGAGGATTCACATCCTGAAATAGACCAGGCTCTCATTTCACACTCTGAACAATTAACAGTCAGAAAAGTAAAATGGCTTGGCCAGGATCCCACAGATTAGTAGAGTGATAATGCCAAGTCTTGAGCAGCGATCTGCCTTGTGTTTTCCATTATTTGCCTGTAGTGCTAACGATTGTGATTTCCCAAAGTGTCATTTCCCACTGCTCTTTAGAGAGAGCCAAGTGGATATGAGTATCTAAAGGGACAAGGGTCAACTTGCTTATCCTACCAACCTTACTCTTCATCCTATAAGATTTTCTAAATAAATCCTACATCCTGGCCAGATCTGTCCAGAGGTAAAGGCTGGGTCATCAGTGCCAGGTGACCAGGTTTCCAGGCCAGGCATGGTGACAGTCGTGAGCTCTTTCCTCAGCAGAGCTCCTTTTGGAACAGCCCAATGGAGGCTCACCCTTGAGGTCCTTTTGTCCTGTTCTCCCACAGGCCTTCTTCGAGGCAGCCAGCATGATGAGACAGGTCTCCCACAAACACATCGTGTACCTCTATGGTGTCTGTGTTCGAGACGTGGAAAGTAAGTGTGCTCTCTCTTGAGAGTAATGGTCGGCCCTGGTTGGGGGACACGGGAACTATACTTGGAAGACAGCTGGAGCCAGACACTTCCTTCATGTTGCACTGGCTTCTTGTCTCTCTTTTTACAGTTGGGGAAATCTAGATGCTGAGCTTGAGTTAACACTGGACATGGAACTGTTTGTTTTTCACTCTCTTCTTAAATGTTTGCTTCTTGCCAACTTTGGCTCCACACTCCTAGATCTTGGGGTTGAGATGTGTAAAGCCAAGTGCTCGCCCTAGTTCCTTTTTTGTAAATGAGGAAACTGGGATGCAGAGAGCTTATCATTTGCTCTGGGTCACCCAGAGTGAAATTGCAAGAGCTTGAGTTTGAAACCATTTGTACCTTCTACAGATGGCTTGTGTCCTCCCAAGCTGAATACCATCTACTAAATTGGGCTTTCACATGGGGGTGAGATAGAGTACTGTAACAAGCAGACAGGCTTGTTATATGGCTATTTTTGTGCCTGTAGATATCATGGTGGAAGAATTTGTGGAGGGGGGCCCCCTGGATCTCTTCATGCACCGGAAAAGTGATGCTCTCACCACACCGTGGAAGTTCAAAGTCGCCAAACAGCTGGCCAGTGCTCTGAGTTACCTGGTAAGAGTGTTCTCATGTCCCTGGGGGTTCCCTTAGGAGCCAGAATGTCTTAGGAGCGGGTGGCAGGAAGAGGGTGTTGGCCAAGCAGGCTGAGGTCAGACCCCTTCCTCAAGTTCTATAGTGCCAGGACTCTGTGGTTAAACACAGGTGTGCCTGGTACTTCGTGATTTAGTATTCCCTGTCAAACTGGGCAGTTGAGGGCTTTTTCCCTTTGCTCACATAGTCATCCCAGTGAGAGAGAAACTTTGTCAGTCAGAACACTGACTTCTGTACTGCAGTGTGTGGGGAGAGTAGCAGTACAGTGCTTCTCAAATGAATGAATAAAACTCTTACCAGCAGTAATAGCTAATGCTGATAGAGTGCTTTCCATGGGCCAGCTGTTGAAGTAGTTTCACAGAGGTGTTGAACCTAGTTCATTGAATTCTCTCAAAAGCTCTACGAGGTATGCTCCACTATGATCCCCCTCTCACTGGTGAGGGAACGAAAGCTGAGGGACATTGTATTGTAATGGTACTTACCCAGGTCACACAGATAATTGGGGAGAAAGCTAGGGAGGAGGGGAGGAGATGATTTTAGGGACCAGGGTTGTAAGCGGGGTGTGGGAGTAGAGGAGGCAGGCATCATTGTTGGCAGCTTTGCTGAACTCAGCCCTTACGATTCTGCAGGAGGATAAAGACCTGGTCCATGGAAATGTGTGCACGAAAAATCTGCTCCTGGCCCGCGAGGGCATTGACAATGAATGCAGCCCATTCATCAAGCTCAGTGACCCTGGCATCCCCATCACCGTGCTGACCCGGCAAGGTAGGTTTCGCCTTCCCCGACCCCAGCCCTGGGCCACTGGACAGGCCAGAGAGGGGCCCTAGTTGTGTGCCCTTGGGAGAAGGGGTTAGAGGTCTGGAGCTCAGGAGGGTCAGCCCGTGCCTATTATTAAAGTGTTCACTGTGCAGTAAGAGAAGCAGACAGCTCATCTGTCCTTGTAATGAAGTTGCTAGGGGTAGCACAAAGGTGGGTCTCCTGTGCTCCTTTTGAAACCCACTGCAGTTAGCTTGAACTAAATTTGGAAGGGCACCAAGATAAGGTACAAGTCTTACAAATACAGCCTTAATCCTGTGCTCCTGGGAAGGGGACTGATACGTCTCCTCTGTCCTTTTAGACATTTATCATGTGGCCCTCGGTCCTTAGCAGAGAGATCTGAACTGCAGATGTAGGTGACTGTAGATAGACCAAGGAAAGAAGTCTGAGTGTCCCAAGAGAGATTCCAGTAAAATACTTGGGAACTCGGAGGAGAGAGATGTCTTCCTGTTGGTGGGGCTGCAGCAGGGTGATGACAGGGACATCATCTGGGGCAGACAGGCTAGTGGGTGCTGGGAAGGAGGAATGAGAAGACTTGGCAGCCAGGTGGCTGTTTGCATGTCCAGCCCAAGAATGGCTCCCTTCCTCTGGTTCCAAAAGGTGTCCTGAGACTTCTGGGTAAAGGGCATTTCTGGTGGGCATGGCTGGGGTCTCTGCTCCGATTCTTGGCTCGGCCTTGATTAGGAGACAGTAACAGAGCTAGCTGTGTGCTAATAAGCATGTGCCACTTCATCACCTCAGCCTCTCCTCCCTTTGTTCTCTTTAGTCAAATGAAAGAAAACTACCTACCTAAAACTAGTGTCACTTTGCAGCTAATAGTGTGGGGTTCATGAGATCAACACAAGCCTGCCCCTAACTATGTTTGCCTCTTCTCCCATCCTTCTCTCTCCTAAGCCTTGACTCCCTGTTCTCATTTTATGGGACAGGGCTTCAGAAGATTCCTGGGAGCTTGTGATGAATGGCCACATCTGCTGGCCCCAGTCAGCCCTACTGGGTCACAAGCACCAGGGCTGCAGACCCTGGAAAGTTGCACATTTAGCAGTCTCCCCCGAGACTAATGTCACCATGGACCATGTTAATAAATGTTGCTTGAAATAGTCTTCATTTCAGCTAAAGAGAGCTCATGTGCTCCCAGGTGATTCTAGAAGCTGATCTGTAAACATGTCTGTTGTTTTCTCCCAGAGTGCATAGAACGCATCCCATGGATTGCTCCCGAGTGTGTTGAAGACTCCAAGAACCTGAGTGTGGCTGCTGACAAGTGGAGCTTTGGCACCACACTGTGGGAAATTTGCTACAATGGCGAGATCCCCCTGAAAGACAAAACACTTATTGAGGTGAGCCACCATCTGCCAGGGTTTGGACTTGGTGAGGACTCCTTGCCATCTCGGGGGCTCTCAGGGAGCCTCACACTGGGAAGAGAAGGACACGGTCTTGAACTGCCGCCACAGGTGTACTGACACTTTGACACTGCAAACATTGCTCAACTTCCTTGAGCCTCAGTCTTCTCATCTATAAAATGAGGATAACTAATATCTAATTTGCAGAATATTGCATGTAGCACACTGCATTTACTATATAAGTCATTGTAGTATTCATTTGTTCATTTTTCTGAAAAGATGTGTGTTTGTTGTTGTTGTTAGGTACCATCAAGTTGGTACCAACTCATAGTGACCTTTACACAGCAGAACAAAACACTGCCCGATCCTGGGCCAACCTCACTACTGTTGCCACACTTGAGTCCATCGATGCTGCCACTTGGCCAATCCATCTCATTGGGGGGTCTTCCTCTTTTTCTCTGACCCTCCACCTTATCAAACATGATATCCTTCTCTAGAAAATGGTCCTGCCTGACAATATGTCTGAAGTATGAGAGACCAAGTTTGTGTATTCAGCAAAATTATTGTTGTTAGGTACCGTCTAGTCAGTTCTGTCTCATAGCAACCTTATGCACAACGGAATGAAACTGTGCCCAGTCCTACAGCATTCTCACAGTCATTGCCATGTCTGAGCCCATTGGTGCAACCACTGTCTCACACACAGATATTTATTGTGTACCTACTGTGTGCCAGACAACCACTGTCCTAGGTAAAAGCACCATAGATCAGATAGATACAGGTTTTGTTTTCTGTTACGGAGCTTAGGGCCTCATAGCGGAATTAGGCTAAAATAATAAGGGTTTTGCCCAGAACATCTACAACAGCTCTCTGAGAGTCAGGGAGGCAGGTCACCCCCATCTCTTACAGATCAGGCCATTGTGACACAGGTGGCCCAAGATATTCACCTGGTCCCACAGCTAGAAAACAAATGGGTGAGCTTGAACCTCTTGTGTTTACCTGTGGAAAAGTCGAGACTTTAAGTTCAAAGGGAAGAAATTGTAAAAGCAGCTGACATTGTCTGCCACCATGATTCGTGCTTTGTGTATGTAGAGGGGGCAGACAACACTCCAAGTCCAAAGAGAGGTGCACTTCTGTTATATCTGGAAAGCATGGGGATGTGGAGGGCAGTGGCGGAAATGAAATGGGAAAGGTCACCTGGGGTCAGATGGTAAAGGCCCTGAATTCCAGGCTACAGGTCTATATCTTCTTGGGGGTGATGGGGAGACTTTGAAGGATTTGCAGGGAGGAGGAGTGGGGTGCTCCGCTGTTGGCTTTGGGGCAGTTCATCTGGGTGCAGGTTGGAATGGACAGAAGGGTGCAGAGACGCTCATGTTGTGCGGCTCTCACTGATGAGAGCCTAGAGCCAGGAAAGAGCAGCAGGAATCCCTAGTGGATGGTGCGCTTGTAGGAAGAATTCCAGAGGTAGACTGTTTTAAGACTTGCCGGTTAGAATTTATGAAAGAGGAGTTGAGCTAAAACTCACGAGGAGACCATCAGATCTACACATCTGCTATTTGGAATTTTCAACCTAGACTTTTGGGAAACTCATTGTGTCTTTACCCTCCTTCGGGAAGAAAGAGCATACTTAAGGATTGCTGTGAGTCAGTGTTTATTGAGCCCTTCCTGGTGGCACTGGGAGCTGCTAACCACCAGGCCAGTGGTTCAAACCCACCAGTCACTCCTGGGGAGAAAAATAGGCTGTCTGCTCCCATAAAGATTGGCAGTCTCGGAAACCCTGTGGAAGTTGGACTCTGTCCTGTACGGTCACTGTGAGTCCGAGTCGGCTGGATGGCAGTGGTTTGTTGTTTGACTTTTTTGCTGTGTACTCAGCGCTGAGCATACAGAAATGGGGTGAGGAAGGGCCCAGGCTGCAGGTAGAAGGATCCCGCTTACTTCCCACTATGAGGCGGTCACTCTGCGTTGTCAACAACAGGTGACTGTCAGCCCTGCAGCGTAGGGCCAGGGACTGGCAAGTGACACTGAGGCAGGGAGGTTTTCAGCTCTTGTCCAGTGCCTTTGCCGCCTCTCCTCTGGGACCTGCTTCCACTCCCACCTGAGGACCCAGAAGGACCAGAAGGAAAACTGGGGCCCTTGGGATCCATCTCTAGACCTGGGTGGTTCCACTTAACTTTTTTTTTTAATTCACTTAATTTTCAAAAGTGGAATCTGTCATTTGTGGATTGTAGATTAATAATCAGTTAAAGAAAATTTGAAAAATACAGAAAACTATGGCTAGAGAAAACCGCAATTGCTATATTCCTCCAACCCTGATCGCTGGTCAAGGGGGCTTCATAAGAAAGTTCATGGAAAGACGGAATTAAAAGTATAAGTGTTTATTGTGAATATGTGATAGTTTACATGGGAGAACATTAGCTTTATATTCATCCTATTGTATTACACTGCTCTTCTTCCTTAAATGTGGATCACTTTTTAAAAATATATATGTATCTAAGTTTTTATTGTGAATGTGACAGTTTTCATGGGAGAACATTAGCTTTATGTTCATCCTACCGTATTTCATTTCACTGCAATGATTACAATCCCTTCCATGCATCATCAAACAACCAAAGGGTATACCCCACAAACCTGACCCCTGGTCACCAGCACACAGACCCTCTCCCTTCCGGAGTCCAGAGTCCCCAGCCACTCCATCTGTCCATGTCATCGTCTCTGCCTCCATCTCTGGTGTCACTGTTTCTCTGGGTAGGGTCCTACTCTCCGCTCTTCTCCCATGATGGTCCCAGGGACCTCCACTCCTGGACTGCAAAGTCAAACACTCCCCTCCTTTTGCTACAAAACGTCTACCTTTACATTTCCAACCTGATAGCAGTTATTCACTATTGTGCCACAAGAGTCTTATCCAAATGTGGATCATTTTTGAATCTGGACTGAGATATGCCTGAGCTGCAATTAGGCAACAGTAACAGTGTTTCTGAAATCCACCTTTACAAAGAGATGTTAGGAAGTAAATTAGGAGTTAGTGACTCCTGACCTGGGCCTGAGAGGTGTGTGGGTGACACCTTGGTTTGTTTGTCTTTACAGAAAGAGCGGTTTTATGAAAGCCGATGCAGACCAGTGACACCATCCTGCAAGGAGCTGGCTGATCTGATGACCCGCTGCATGAACTACGACCCCAGTCAGAGGCCCTTCTTCCGAGCCATCATGAGAGACATTAATAAGCTTGAAGAGCAGAGTAAGATGCTGTCTTATGCTTCCCTAACCAACACCTGCAGATACCTTGGCGAGAAGGCCAGGATAGGCATCAAAAGGAGCAGTCATTGTTAGTGAGTAGTCACTTGTTGATTCATTGTCCTTTCTCTTCTCTTAGATCCAGACATTGTTTCAGAAAGAAAACCAGCAACTGAGGTGGATCCCACACACTTCGAAAAGCGGTTCTTAAAGCGGATACGTGATTTGGGAGAGGCAAGTGATGCCAGTGCTTGTTACTGATGGCACAGTTCCCTGTTTACTACATTTCCCCTCTCTGCATGTAAAGCCGCTCTCCATTCATTCTCATTTGGCGTCATTGTTGGCGACAGGAAGAGTCCTGCTGTGTTTTTTAGGACTTCTTGATCACAAGGGATTTTGCCTTCTCCACCTGACACCCACAGTTCCCTGCGTGTACACCTGACTAAATGCTCACAGCGCATTGCTCAACAACCTCAGGAGACTTGGTTTTTCTCTAAGGGTGGAGGAGAATGAAACGAGAGAGAGAGATGAGGAAGAGAGGGATAGATAAGGAGGAATAGAAAAATCCTTGTCTCTGATTTTTCCAAACACACATATCCTGTGAGGCTGCTTAGATGAGGGACAGATTTACTTCACAGAATGCCAAAGTAGAATACTAGCTTTTCCTCTGGACCACAAATGGGAGTTTCCTCATAGTTAATGTGACTGGAGAAGCTCCTGGGATCTGAGTCTCCGTACACAAGACTATGGCATCTGCTCTGTGCCAGGCTCTGTGCTGGGCAAATCCTCAGTGTTTGTTAGTACTGTGTACACTGAGTATAGCCGAAACCGGCTCAGAAGACTTGTGACCTATTGCAGCCACATCACCATTTGGTAGCTTAGCCGGAATCCAACCTGCAGTCTTCTGAAGTGTTCTGTGCAATGCTTTCTTCACCTGTGCTATGGTGCCTCTTCTGTGGCCCAGACCCAGGGCTTTAAAGGAATGCCAGTTGTTCTATAGACCCAGAAATAACCTTCATTTCCTTTAGGGTTACATTTCCAATCCCAGAGAAACTAGGATTGATGTGTTGGTTTGTTAATCCCATGATGGTTCCCTGTTTTAGCACAGTAGTAGAGGAAATGGTATGTGAGACAAAGAGAGGTTGGGACTGTGGTGAGGAAGAAGACCCAGGGGATGAGCCTGCAGGGTCAGACTGCTGGTTAACCCGTGTCCTTCAGGGCCAGCTATGAGGAGCACGACTCTCTGGTAACAGCCTCCTTCTTCCCTCCCAGGGCCACTTTGGGAAGGTCGAGCTGTGCAGGTATGACCCTGAGGGAGACAATACTGGGGAGCAGGTGGCTGTCAAATCCCTGAAGCCCGAGAGTGGAGGCAACCACATTGCTGATCTGAAGAAGGAAATAGAAATCCTAAGGAACCTGTATCATGAGAACATTGTGAAGTACAAAGGGATCTGCACAGAAGACGGTATGTTGTGCAAAATGCCTTTTGGTTTAAAGACTAAATGACTCTGGGTTTCAGAAGGCCAGTGTGGAGCAGGTAACCCTTGACCTTCATGGGGCCCCCCATGAGGTCTCTGGACTTTGAAGTGTTAAGCACTGTTGTCAAATCCTCAGCAGCTGGAAGCTTCCTGGAAAGCTATCCAGCTTTCTTCCCAGCCAGGGGTTGAGTCCAGCATTATTTCTCAGGATGCTTGTACACTACACTAAGGATTGCTCTGAACCCGTCCAGATAGTCATGTGTCTGTCATAGGAAACTGGTATCCTCCTGTTTCCCGTAGTCTTCTAAGCCAGCACATAAGTGCCGTCAAGTTCGTTCCGGCTCATAGCAACCCTGAATGGGGTTTCTGAGAAGGAACTCTGGTGGATTTGAACCACCAATTTTGTGGGTAACAGTCCAGTGCTTATTCTACAGTGCCACACGAGGACTCCACTAGCTAGGGGATTTGTATTTCTAGTTGTCTAAATCAAGGTAGGAGTCCTGGTGTGGGGCTGTAGGATAAGCACTCGACCACAGTCCTGGTTTGAACCACAAGGTCAGCAGCTGAAACTCTCCAGTTGCTCCTCAGAAACCTTATACAGGGTCCCTATAAGTTGGAACTGACTCAGTGGCACTCAGCAACAATAAATCAGGGTAGCAAGTAGTGTCTCCTAATGCCTGTGTCTATTTGCAAGCCAGCACACCAGTCATGTGCTTAAAGATGGGTAGTGAAATGACAGGGCTTATAATTGAAAATAATTAGCATCTGCCTAATGGTTCAGTGTGGAGTCCCAGTGTGGCACTGTAGGATAAGCACTAGGCTGTTAACCAGAAGGTTGGTACTTCAAACCTACCAGCCACCCCTCAGAAACCCTGTCCTGGGTCTCTATGAAGCAGCACCGATTCAGCGGCACTGTTTTACTGGTGAGTGCTTATGACTCTGAGTTAGTTCATAGATAAAAATCAGTAAAAATCCGTCCGTTCCCCATAATGTGAGACTTGATCAAATTCATGTTTCAATGATCTCTGACAATAGCTGCCCACGTTCTCTCTTTAATACTAGACACTTGGAGCTAGGTCAGATCTCAAAGGGTAAAAGGACACTGTTCTGCGGAGCGCACAGTGGCAGATGCCAGCCACAAGGTCAGGACTCCACCCAACACGCTTATTTCAGACCTGCTGGCTGCAAATTCCGTTTTCTCACTACTTTACAATGTCAACTGCAAGCTCAGGGGCCTCCCCTGGGCTTCCTCAGTTTCACCTGCTGGCTCTCACTACTCTTTTGTGTTTGATAATTCACCAGGATGACTCACAGAACTCATAGAATGTGCTTACAATTGTAGATGTATTATAGCAAAAGAATGCAAATCAGAATGAGCACAAAGAAAAGATGAATGAGGTGAGTTCTGGAAGGATCCCCAGCATAGACCTTTCATGTCCCAATAAAGGCTCCAATGTGTGTGTTGATGTTTCTCACTAACCAGGAAGCTCCTTGGGGCTTCCATGTGCAGAACCTTTATTGGCTTCCTTGCATAGTCCTGATTGGGGTCTCATTGCATGTGCATGAATCTTCACTCATGCACCCCTCCCTCGCTGAGGTCAGTTGATATCAACCACGAAGTGGTCCTTCTGGCTTGGCCAGCCTCCCTATTCATTAACACAAATGCCTTAGGCCTAGACAACAAAAGGCACCTCAGTTATTCCACTAAGTCCAAAGGTTATCTCTCAAGGTACACAAATGTTACTATCCATGTTCACTGTTGAGGATCCTGAGCTCCGGGGCTTAAGAAGTTGGGTCACTTGCCTGTGAAGTCAGGCAGGCCTTGTGCCTTGGATTCTCCCACAGATCCTTTATTTGGCCTTCTCATACTGATGGGTGTTTTTTTTTTTCAAACAGGAGGAAATGGTATTAAGCTCATCATGGAATTTCTGCCTTCTGGAAGCCTTAAGGAATATCTTCCAAAGAATAAGAACAAAATCAACCTTAAACAGCAGCTAAAATATGCTGTTCAGATTTGTAAGGTAAAAACAAAGAAGCATATTAAAGATTTAAAAATCAGCACACTACCATGGGTAGTAGTTTAGTAATTAGACCAAGAAAGTTTTATATACTGCCTGTACTGAGTTATTTTGCTCTGCATTATTTGGGTGGCAAATTATCTCTCTTATGAATGTCAACCCTCTCCCACCCCCCAATTATAAGTGATACATAAATGAAATGATTTTTGAAAACTTTTATTTTGAAGCGATACATACCCAGTATAATCTGAACTGACTTTTAGCAATGTGCTCCACCTTTCTCTTCTTAGGGAATGGACTATTTGGGTTCTCGGCAATATGTTCACCGGGATTTAGCAGCAAGAAACGTCCTTGTTGAGAGTGAACACCAAGTGAAGATTGGAGACTTCGGTTTAACCAAAGCAATTGAAACTGACAAGGAGTACTACACAGTCAAGGATGACCGGGACAGCCCTGTGTTTTGGTAACTGAATCAAGTAGTTTGATTTCATTTACATTTCATAGGCTTTACATTGTTTTAATAGGCTTTTCCCAGTTCCCTTATTGTCTGTCATTCTTTCAGCTTAAGTCAAAGTTAGAGAGGATTAAGGACATTTAGAATCGATTAGTATTTGTCTTCAAGAAACATCTTGTAGGCTGCCTCACTGAAAACAGCCCTCGCAGAAATGCCTGAGCTTCATACGACACTATCTGTTAAGGAATGGGAGGAATCTGATCACCAGCTCGGCTCTTCCAGGCAGGGGCATCCATCTGATGCAGTTTGTAAAATGCCAGCAGGAGGAGGAGTCCCTAAAGCACATCCCTGCAGAGGAAGGCCTGGTAGAAGGAGGGTTACAAGGTAATGAAGTAGGCATTGAGCAGATACGGGGAGAACCAGGGCAAAGCAGAGGAAGATCCACAGAAACCCAGAGGTCCTCTCCCGAAGCAGCAGAACCTGCCTGGAGAAGCTGCCATGTGTGCCCTGACTGCTCCACCTTTAGCCGGGAGCACTACCCAGGGCAGAATTCTGCCTAACTCTCCAGTCCATCTTCAGAAAAACTGATCAGCAGCCCTGAGGTATAGCCTAAACAACTCACACATAGGTCTTTCCCACCCTAGGAGCCTACACCGTCTTGTATAGAAGGGGCTTCCAAAAGTTTGTGGACAAATTCCATTCTCTCTCTATTCCATGTTTCTGTTGGAACCTTTTGAAGCCCTCTCACCCTATCTATCAAGTCTATACTTACTGCCATTAGCAACCAGAAAGTTACTGTCTCATAATTTAGGTGGTTAGAAGTCTAGACTCAGAGCACGGACTCTGGAGAAAAGTCATTCATTGTCTTCCTTCAGCAGCTGTAGGCCCGCCAGTGCTTGGAAAGCTCCATGTGTGTTGGCATCAAGCTTTCCTTGCATCAAGGAGCTTAACAGGGCAGGGACCCCAGTCCAAAGTATAAACTCTATTCCTGGCTCTATATTCTTTTTTTCTTAAATGATTTATTGTGAATTATGTGATAGCTTACATGGGAGAACATTAGTTTTACATTCATTCTATCGTATATCGTCTCATTGCCATAGTTACAATCCCCTCCATGCAATCCTTCCCCTGTATCCCTCAGGTCTTCAGCACACAGTCGCTCTCCCTCTCTGGATCTAAAGTCTCCAGCTACTCCATCG